GTCAGATACTGACGTCCCTGTGGCTGATCATGAACCGGAGGAATGGGCCTCGGGTTCTGACACAGAATATGAGAGTCTAGGCCTCCGGGAAGGGATTGGCTCAGTGCGACGTCGGTATAGCTTTATGAGAAAGGAAGGGGACCCCCCTGAAGGGCCGGGTGTGTTATCTTCTATATGAAGCTACTCGTCTGGAATGTGAGGGGGGTGTCCTCTCGGGGTTCTGCTCGCAGGATCCGCGTGCTGTTGAGAATGCACGCGCCTTTTGTTTTATGTCTACTCGAGCCTTTCAGCTCGTCTGATTGGCTTGAGTTTTTCAGGATCCGCTTTACTTTTGATAATGCTTTTGCTTCTGTTAGTAATAAAATCTGGTTTTTTTGGAATAATGATTTGGCAGTAACATTTGAGAGTCAGACCGAGCAGTGCATTACTATCTCATGTGTTCATTCTACTGTGCTCACGCCTTTTTGGCTCTCATTTGTTTATGCCAAAACCAAGGAACGCCCCCGGGACCCGTTGTGGGCTGAGTTGAAACATATATATTCTTTGATTCCTGGAGGGGTTCCTTGGTCGGTCGCAGGTGATTTTAATTGTTTGTTAAGTGTGGACGAGAAAAAAGGTGGTCTTCCGTACCCACATCGGAAGACTACTGATTTTCAGGAGTGTGTCAGCACGTGTGACTTGGTTGATGCGACCTACTACGGCTCCTGTTTCACTTGGTGGAATGGGCGACATAGGGAAGCGGCCATATGGATGCGTTTGGATCGGTTTCTGGTTACTTCGGTATGGGAATCGGTCTTCAAATCGTCTGTGCGGCATTTGTCAAAGTCCACGTCTGACCACAGTCCACTGCTGATATGCTGTGATCTTTTGAGTACGCAGGTAGTACCGAGGCACTTTGTGTTCTTAAATGTCTGGATCAAGCACGAGGACTTTCTGAGGGTGGTGCGTGATAGCTGGGAGGGCCCTGTGGAGGGGGGCCCAATGTTTGTAATGGCCACCAAATTGAATAGACTGAGTAAGGTTCTGAGCAGGTGGAGCAAGACTGGATTCGGGGACATATTTGTGAAGCTCCGGGAATATGAGGACAGTGTTCAGACCCTTGAGGCTGCCTTGCAGCAGCACCCAGATGATGAAAATGCTTTAATTGAATATAAAAAGGGTGTTGCTTTGCTGCAAAAACAGATTGCAATAGAGGAGGAATTTTGGCAGCAAAAGGCGCGTGTCACCGAGGTACAGGATGGGGATAGAAACTCCCGTTTCTTCCACTCTATTGTTAAGGAACGCAGGCGTAAGCTATACATACACAGGGTGAAAAATGGGGAAGGGATATGGCTGGAGGACAGACAGGGAATTGCGAATCAGGCAGTCTCCTTCTTTGAGCAGATGTTTACTGCTGAGATTGGAGGGTTTGATTTGGACAGGTTGGATTGTGTCCCACGACTGGTTACTGACGAGGATAACGAACAGTTAATAGCGGTGCCAGAAGTGGGTGAAATAAAAGCTGTGGTAATGCAGATGAACTCTACGAGTGCGGCAGGGCCGGATGGGTTCTCGGGGGCCTTTTATAAAGCCTGCTGGGATATCATTCAGGATGATGTAGTCAGTATGGTTCGGAGTTACTTTGCGGGACGGGAATTCACCAGGGCTATCACGCACACATCCATTGTTCTTCTCCCGAAGAAGCCGAGCCCAGAAACCTTTGCAGATTACAGGCCTATCAGTTTGTGCAATTTCAGTAGCAAGTTGGTTACGAAGCTTATGGTGGTTCGGATGGCGACGGTTTTGCCCCGGGTGTTGTCCCCGCAGCAGAGTGGGTTTGTAGCTGGACGGTCCATCACGGACAATGTTTTGCTTGCGTCTGAAATGTGCCATGGTTTGAGTTTGCGGAACCGGGACATAGTGCTGAAGCTTGATATGGCTAAGGCATATGACCGGGTTTCGTGGTTTTTCCTGACTTCGGTGATGCGCCGCCTGGGTTTCAGTGAGATTTGGATAGATATGGTGTTCCGGGCGGTGTCGAATGTGTGGTATTCCGTGATCGTAAACGGGGTCAAGGAGGGTTTTTTCACTTCTACACGGGGCCTCAGGCAAGGGGATCCTTTGTCCCCGACCTTGTTTGTGATTGCAGCCGAGGTTTTATCTGTTTACCTTGCTCGGGTTTATGATGGAACCGCGGTGCCACGATTCACGCAGCCACCGGGGACACCACATATACACCACCTGGCTTATGCGGATGACGTGATTATTTTTAGTACAGCCAGGTCGGGAGCAATTCAGGAGGTAATTAACGCTTTGAAGGAGTATGAGGAGATATCCGGACAGTTGGTGAGCTTTCAGAAGAGTGCATTCTACGTGCATCCTCGTACTCCGGCCGGTGAGATTGATAGCATTCGCAGGGCAACAGGCTGTGTGCATAAACAGTTTCCCTTTACTTATCTGGGTTGCCCTGTGTATCTTGGGCGCAAGAAATGTATTTATTTTGCCTCCGTTGTGGATAAAGTCAAGGCTAAATGTTTAAGTTGGCAACGGCGGGTACTCTCGAAAGGAGGGAAGGCGATCTTGATTTCTTCAGTTCTGCAGGCCATTCCGTTGCACCTGTTCTCGGCCTGCGCACCCCCTAAGCAGGTAATCAGGGACCTGGAGAGATGTTATGCGAGTTTCTTCTGGAAACAATCGGGGGGAGCCCGGTATCATTGGAGTTCGTGGAAAACTCTGTCCCGTCCCAAAAAGGAGGGGGGAGTTGGTTTCCTGGACTTGGATCTCATGGTTAGGGCCGCCAGTGCGAAATTGTGGTGGAATTTTCGCACAGAGCATACACTTTGGTCAGACTTTATGAGGGCCAAGTATTGCAGTCGGGTTCACCCGGTTGCTAAGTTGGTCCAGACTACAGATTCGCACACCTGGAAGCGGATGTTGATGGTTCGTGATGAGGTCGAGGGGGTCCTGATTTGGCGGTTGTTCCAAGGCCGGGTTAATTTCTGGTGGGACAACTGGTCAGGTCTGGGCCCACTTGGTCGACTGTACCCATCTCGGGGAATCTCTTACTCCCGAGAGCTGCTTCTGGACTATGTGCGGGATGGTGAGCTTGATTTGTCTGGCCATGATGACTTGGCTTATGCGGGGGTTAATGCGGACTTGTCCCGAATGGGACAGGGGCCGCGTGACATCCCTCTTTGGACCGTGGCTTCTGATGGTATGTTTTCTTACTCCTCTGCGAAGGCCTTCCTTAGGCCTGCTATGCCCACTGCACCGGACCCTCTCTTAGCTAAATGTTGGCGCAAACACCTCCCATTTAAGGTGTCCTTCCTGGCTTGGAGAGTGTTCCGAGGGCGGCTTCCCACGGATGACATCCTGTCTCGTTTCGGTCATATGATTGTTTCGAGGTGTTGGTGTTGTCCAGCCCCTGGCCCCGAGTCTATTGATCACATATTTTATTCAGGGGAAACAGCAGGATCTGTTTGGAGATATGTTTTGGCGTCCCTCGGCCTCCAGTCGCGACATCGGAGTCTTAGGACATTGATTGCGAGTCGGGGCCGGGGTGGGGCGCGTAACCCTTTATTTTCCTTTGCTGTTAGCAGGTTGCCGTACTTGGTCTTGTGGGAGCTGTGGAAACACCGTAATGGGTGTATGCATGGACGGGATACCCCTAGCATTGCGCGAGTGATGCATGGGGTCGCAAAGGGGGTGGCGGAATGTCTGTTTAGGCGGTGGCCTATGCAACATATCCTGCCCTCTAACTGGAGGACGATTGTGGCATACCTGGAGGCACATGTGCCGAGGCGAGTTGTTAGGACGGTCAGGTGGTCGCCTCCCGCTGCTGGAGCTTTAAAGATTAACCTATCTCTTTCGGCAGCAGTGGAGGGGGCCGCGGCCGTGGTGCGCAATCAGGCGGGTGGCTTCTGTTATGGGGTTGCCTGGTCTGGGCGCGGGGAGCACGCTCGGGGCATGTTCCGGGTTCTGTTCTCGTGTCTGGAATGGTGCCTGGCCGGGGGCTATACAGAGATTGTTATGGAGTCCACGTGGGCGGAGCTATGTAGTTATGTTGATCTTTCCTTTCGCCCGCCGTGGTTTCTGGACGACGTCGTGTCCAGGCTCCGTTTCCTGTGTTCTTGTGGAGTAGTATCTGCTGTCTTGTGCCCGTCTAGGGCCAATCTACCTGCACGAACACTAGCCGAGTGGGTGGTTGATAAGCCGGGGGAGGCCATTTTTCGGGACCTTAATGATCTGCCACCTAGGGTACGCTCGTTGTTGATACACGATGACATCCCCTATGTGTTTTTTGAGATAGATGACCCCCCGTGATTCTGACCTGCTTGTACCTTGTACTTTATGTGTTGGAAAGAAGGAAAAAAGGAAAAAGAAAAAAAGAAAAAGAAAAAAGAAAAAAGTAAAAAAGAAAAGGGAAAGAAAAGGAAAGGAAAAAGAAATAAGGAAAAAGAAGAAAGAAAATAAATCAAAAGATATGAGTGGAAAAGAATTGGAGTGTTCAAAAGAATTGAGTGGTAAAATGAGGGTTTGGCAGGAAAAGAAAGAGCGGAGTTAGCTAAAAACAGAGAGTGTGTGAGGTGTTCTTGGGGGCTATGAGGTCCTGCTGGCCGGGACTGAGTCTCAACGTAAGGTGTTGGCGGTACAACATGGCACCCTAGTCTGGGCTGAACGGTGCACCAGGCAGGACTAATCAAATCCGTTGACCTGGTCAGGCTTGCTGCTGGCCAATAGTAGTCGAGTCCCTTCTGGACTCCGGGGGGGATGGGTCGCATATGGGGGGTTGCTGTTTGTTCGTGTCAGCCTGTTAATACCTATACACTCACCTGATGCGAAAGATGGAAATAGTTGGTCGAGGAAACAGGGTTTTGTTTGTTCATCTTGTTTCTATTTTGCAGGTATGTTTCTTTGGCCTCCGAGGCGTTTACTGGTCTACAGGCTTTTTTGGTTCCGCCTTTGCAGGCGTTTTTTGAAATAGACCAGGCCTCAACGTTGGTGCAAGCGGTAAGAAGTTGCATCCTGGCCCGGGCTGAACGGTGGCCGGGTAGGTGTTTCTCAAATCCGTTGGCATAGTCCAGGCTTGCTGCTGGCCCATAGTAGCTAATCCCGTTAGGGTTGGTTCTGGTTCGCGCTGGTGCTGATCGGGGTTCGATGCTATTGGCTGCCGTGTCATGATTGTCTATCTGTTGGCCTGTGATTGCCTGTAATCTTATGTAATGTTTTGTCTGAGGCCTGTGTGCCGACACTCTGTTTCATTACCATGTTGGTGTGAGTTGTTGCTTTCTACAGGGCAGCCAATAGCACTCCAGGAGATGGTGCGGTCATTGCTGATGGCCGTGAAGGCAGCTGGTTTGTACTTGCATTATTTTAGAGCAGCTGCGGTTCTTGCTTAGTGATAGAGCCTTGGTCTGGTGTTAGTTATCTAGCATGGGACTTGGGGCATGTATGTTATAGCCCCAGGGGCCTACTTTATGATTATCTCGTTTTATTTTCTAGTTTAGTTTTACTTAGTTTTATTTAGTGAGATTTTGATCGTCTGTGGCCTAATCCCTTGGACTTTGTACTGGCTTCGGCCTTTCGCTATTTTAATAAAGTATCCATTCTTAAAAAAAAAAAAAAAACAAAAAAAAAAAAAACCCTAAACCCTAAACCCTAAACCCAAACCCCAAACCCTAACCCCCAAACCCCAAACCCCAAACCCCAAACCCCAAACCCCCAAACCCCCAAACCCCTAACCCCTAACCCCAAACCCCAAACCCCAAACCCCAAACCCTAAATCCCAAACCCCAAACCCTAAACCCACAAAAACAAAAGTTGCTATTCAATTGAAAAGGATCATGAAAATTCAGCTAGCAATATAAACCCTATTGGGGCATTCTGTCTTTATATATTCCAAATAGTACTTATCCTCCAAAATAAAATATAGTTTATATCACCAAAAATAAATGTAATTTCATATCCCCCAAAATAAGTATAGATCTAATAATCTCAATATACTTAGGTTTTCAACATAATTTCAAGTTTCCACCAAATTCTGTAATAATATAAATAGGTACCACAAAAATATAAGTTTTCAAAACGTAACACATTTATACACCTCATAGGTCATACACTTCTAAACAAAAATATATTACCAACACATATACTTTACCATAATATTCAAATGTATACATACACATACACACACACACTAGGTTTGTAAATCATGAGTGAACACAAAATAGATACATTTTGCTATTTATCATACTTTCAATCCAAATACATTTTCAAAATAATTTAAGAATACAAATCAAATAAATATCACATTTTATAGAGCAAAGTAATTTGAACGAATATAGAAACTAACCTCAAATGCTAAATCTCACGAAAGCCAAAAGCCAACTCCAACTCTAAGCTCATCTACTAAGCTAATTACCTTGATAGAGAACCTGCAGATCAAACAAGTCTAGTTTACTTAATATTACTATTGTTATTATAGTGGCCATTACGAGAACATCATTAACACGACCCACTTCATCATATTATTTAATCGTTATCACCATTAATCATTGTCTCCATGAGTATCCTCATCACCAAACTATTTTAATTTCATTATCTTCATCCTAGTATTAGTAATGTCATCATCTTCATGCCAAACTCAAGTTCCTCTTCATCAAATGTCATTCTATTATTAATCCATAGTCATTATTAACATAATAACATCACCATCATTATTATCTTAATCACCATCAATATAATAATCCAATAATCATAGCATCTTCCTTAACACTAATAACCATCATTAGTTAATAACAAATCTTCATTAGCAACTAATCCCATCACCTTAGTCTTCATCATCGTCCATAATCACTATTATTAATCAATCAAAAGTGATTACACTAATTACCATCTTAATTCTCATCCAGCATTAAACTTCATTATTAACATAAACTCACCACCCAAATTTAATATTCTGACGTCATCATTTCCTTCACCATTCTTTCGTATATCCGTCATCCACAGCGCCAATCCATGCCACCGCCTACGCCGGACGAGTGAAAGGTCGACGGAGCCGAGCTACTGTGTTGGGTCTACCGCCGGAAAACCAAAGCTCGTCGGATGTTGCTGCTTCCTGGAGAAGGTCATCGCCCACTGCCACACCGTCGGACCACGCTACTGCCACCGGAAACTGATCTGCTCTGCCCTCGACGCCGCCTACTGCTTCGCCGGAGCTCGCCGAGGAAGGCCGCCGCTGCTGCGGCCGACTGAAAGAATAGAGGAGAGACGGAGGCTCCCGGACGTTCCAGCCGCCCTCAGCTCGCCGTAAGGAGTCAGAACTGAATGCTCCGTAGCTTCTTCGCGCCACTGGTTTGTCGCGTCTGTGCAATCTCGCTGGCCAGAAAAAGGAAAGCGGCTGATAACAGTGGTGGGTGGTCGCTGTTGGAGGCTGATGCTCGCTGCAGTCGAGGAAGAAGAAGGTGTCGATGGTGGTGGCGGCTGTTATCTTAGGAATAAAGAGAGACACCAACAGTATATATTTATATTCTAACAAAGCTAGGGTTTTGGGTCACAATTCATATTTATATTTTGTTAGATAATATATATCAAATTTACAATTTGAACTAAAATGTGAATTAGGATGATTTTCTGGCTCAAGCAAAAATTATTGGATTCAAAATTTTAAAATTATTTGGGTTTAAGAAAATTTGATACATAAAATATATATCTTGGCAAGCTCATAAAGATTTTGAATAGTAAAATTATAAGCTATAAAATAATTTATTTAAATTTAAGAGTGAAATAATTAATTTGAAAATATTCGAGCTAAAATATTTATAATTGAAATATAAATTTCATTTCTGAAATTATTTTTATTCAAATTTAAAATAATATGATTTAAAATATTTGAATGTCACAATACAGAATTTATGTTTATAAGGTATAAAATTATGTTCATAATACACTTACACATAAACACGATATAATAAAGACACATAATACACAAAATTTATATTCATAATGTACAGAATTTATATTCATAATGCACATAATTCATGATGCAATATAATATAGTATATGAGATGAGAATTCAAAATCAATTACAGTTACAGTAGATGAGATTACAGGAGTGTATATCTCAATATACCTCTAAACAATCTTATCTAATAGGATACAACCTCAGACTAATTATAGCACCACACATTAACTAACTATAGGTTATACAAGAATAATTACATTAATAATAATAATACTCACACACCCCCTCAAGCGGAAGGTTTGTGACAAACAACATTAAGCTTGTCCCGTAGTGCAGCAAACCTTGGACCTGGTAGCGGTTTGGTGAAGACATCGGCGAGCTGGCCCTTAGTTGATATGAAGTTCACCTTGAATTCCCTCATTGCAACCTTGTCTCGAACGAAGTGATAGTCGATCTCAACATGCTTCATTCTGGCGTGAAAAACCGATTAGCACACAGATACGTTGCCCCTAAGTTATCACACCATAAAGTAGACGGTTGATCAGTATGCAACCCCAGCTCACGTAATAAAGAAACAACCCAAGTAACCTCAGCAGCAACATCGGCTAGGGCTTTATATTATGCTTCTGTCGAGGAGCGAGCCGCAATACGCTGTTTCCGGGACAGCCATGAGATGAGATTGGACCCGAGGAAAACCGCATACCCACTTGTGCTCTTCCCTGTCAACCGGAAAACCGGCCCAGCCGGAGTCGGAATAGGCATGAATAGAAGCGGTGGGTGATGCACTCATGTGCAAGCCATAGTCAAGGGTCATTTTTTTTTAATAAAGACATTGTAGACACATGATTCTAAATTAAAAAAATGCATATGTATTATTAGAATTATCAAAAATAATAATTATTCATTACCAATAAATTAAATAAGAGAAATAATTTCATTAGTTATATTGTCTTTTATTTTTATCTAATATAAAAATTATTTAAATTCAAATTCATCAATTGATTATATTCGCTACATTGTCCCTACAATGTCTTTATTCAAAAAAAAAATATTCATTATCAATAAATTAATTAAGATGAATAACTTCATTAGTTATATTGTCTTTATTTTTCTCCAATGTAAAAATTATTTACATTCAAATTCATCAATTGATTATATTCACTACATTGTCTATTATTTTTTTTTGTGCACTATTTTTAAATTAAATATCAAAGTTATAATACAAAATAATGTTATATATTTATTTACCAAGTATATCTTATTAATACCATGAAAAAATTATATATATATATATATATATATATATATATATATATATATATATATATATATATATATATATATATAATTAACAAAGTCAATCATATTTCGATTCTGGGATCTTAAAATGGAATTATGGAAAATATGTTTAAAGAGGCTATGATGATATTTTTCTTCATCGGGCATTGAAGGTGACTCTTTTGCTGTTAGTAAATAAATGAAAAAAAGGTGAAGGAGGGTGAAAGAGATGCAAATATTGCAATTATCAAATTTTCATTTTATTCGACACTAGTTGGATGGAATAACAAACAGAGAATTATATTGAGTAAAAACACAAAAACCTAGACTACATTGAATCACCAAAATCGTTTAAGATGAAAAAAAAAAAAAAAAAAAAAAAACATAGAGAACCATTTTGAGTATTAAATATTTTATATTTTATACTAGATTGGGATTTAGGTTTTTATAAAACTACTTATTCAATTAGTCTATTTAATATTAATACAATGTCCAATTCATAATGGGATGCATGTACTTTCCACGTAGGTGCCAAATAATATGACACCTAAGCAATGTTACTGGTTAGTTCAACCAGTAATTAACTGGCAAAATATAAAAATTACATAAATTTTAAATGTTTAATGTTTTAATTACACATATTTTAAGTTTAATGTCTGAATTGTACAAAGTTAACAAGTTTAATTACATATTTGATACTTTTTCTTTTTATTCATAAATAATATAATAATAGATTATTAAAATATGAAATTATTAGTTTGTGACTTTTTTCTTATAGTTAAAGTCAATTAAAAATTAATGATTAAAATATATAATGATATAATACTTAAAATGTAATTGACCTATACAAATATATAATTATGAAACATAATGTTAGCAATTATAAAATATTAAATATATAATGTTTAATATATAATTATACAGTATATATGTTTAAAAGTATTATTAGGATAGTTAGGTGTGAAGTTGTGATGGGGTATTTTTATTTTTATTTTTTAGCAAAAATAAATTACTAAGAGCATAAAAAGGTCATATAATAAGCAAGAATGATAGACCCTTAGTCTTGCAGACTAAAGGAGACAGACCACCTTTTATAAAAAGATAGCCTAAAGTGAACTATGACATTCATACCAGATATAAGAAAACAGAGTCCACACTAAAACACTTGAAAGAATGAACTAAAAAAAGAATGAAACAATAAGCGCAAAGCTGCATGAGTAGCACGATCGCAAGTTTCTTTAATAACCTGAGCTCAAGTATTTTGCCCTGTCCTATTTACTTAAGGATTTATTGGGGATAGCATTCAATCAAGACTTTTAGGGGTCGTTTGGTTCACAGAATGTCAGATTACCTTACGGAATGTTAGATTACTGGGAATGTTAGACTCCTGTGTTTGGTTAAAATTGGGGTATGTAATATAATCATGTTTGATTTAGGGTTATCTTTTATCCACACACTATAATATCATTAACATATTTTCATATATTTTAATAAATAAATAAGATAATGGTATCATATGTAATTACATGATTTTAAAATAATAACTAAAATCTTGAACTTGAGAAACAAAATTATTTTATATGCTAACCTAACATAATAAAAATAAAAAATATATAATTACAAAAATAATTATGTGTGTGTGTGTGTGATAAACTAACATAACCAAGGTTATCTTACACTAGTATAGTCCCCGTGCGATGCACGGGATGGATATTGTTCAAGATAGTGTCCAAATGTGTGAATAATTGGTTACATTAGTGAAAAAAATTTTTGAAATTAACAAATAGAAACAATAATGACAATACGTTTATACAGAATATCCAAAAATATCGTTCAGTAGACAATTACAAATTATTGAAGATTTCATGGTATACTACGTTGGTTGTTGATGTTGCAGTTATCCTTGAGTCGTTGGCAATCAACATTTTAAGCCCACTTGAGTTGTTAACTCGAGATGCAGCAACGTACAATTGACCATGCACAAAAACCGGTTTTTTTAGTAGCAAACCTACATGTGACAGTGTTTGACCTTGACTTTTGTTAATAGTCATTGCATATGCTAACATTAGTGGGAATTGTCGCCGTTGAAACTTGAATGGTAATCTTGTGTCTGAGGGTGACATTGACATTCTGGGTATCAACACTTTTGCACCTTTGTTAGCACCATCTATTAATTCAGCTTCAATTACACGGTCTGCTAACTTGGTGATTACCAACCGCGTACCATTACACAATCCAACTGAGTGACCAATATTTCTTAATAACATTACTGGGGACCCAATTTTTATAGTCAATGCATAGTTTGGGATACCTGAAGCTCTAATGCGGTTCAAAAACTTAGGTGTGTGGACATCACCCATTATTCCACTACCTGCATCCGCTTTGCATATTGTGTCGCAACTAAAATAATTATAAAACTTTAAATTCCAAACATATAATAAATCTCTATCTCTATATTTATATAAACCCAAAGTATTTGATTAATGTAAAGTGCAATAGGACAGTTTATATATAATATAGATAATCCTATACTAATAATTTTAATCAGTTTTATAATATTATAAATATTATAAATATTAGTCCATTAAGTAAGCATAGTTTTAGGAAACAAATAGAAGCAGTATTGGGTCTTTGTTGACCTTATCTGCTGGAATCAAATTTGCGGTAGATTTTGTCTAGGAGGAGTGTTCTCATTTCATTCGCATCGCTCACGCTTTTCGCTTCTGCACCCATTTCTCTTGAATTCGTTCTATTTCTCCATTTGTTTTCCAGATCATGCTCTTTCTGAACCTAATCAGTTGTCGTTCCTATGTAATATACCTACATCCTCTCTAATTGAGTCAATTTTTACACTATTGTTCGAGTACCGATTTGGAAACCCTAGTCGGAGTTCGCGTTTCCTGGGAGATTTTGCAGCAGCGAAAAGCGAAGATGAAGTCTCACACCTATATTTGTAAGTTACTAATTCTGATTCTTCTTTTCTCCGATCTATAGCTTCAAAATTGAATTATAAGCTTGAATTTAGGATTTATTCTTTCTTTCGATTTTTTGGGTGAACTGATGTTAATTATTCGAAGATCTAAAACTCCAAATTTAGAGTTTCCAACTTTTGCATAGGTAATTTGTTATCAAATCTAAAATTGAAAATCTCTAATTTGAATTTTTAACTTTCGATCTAAACATGCAAATTAATGGTTTGGTAATTTTGTCCGACTTCAAGCTATTGTGTGTCTGACTTTGATATTTGTTGATTTTATTGCAGTTTCCTATGAATCGAAGCTATTGTTCTGTCTACACGGAAGGGTTTCTAATTTTCACAGAGAGCTTAGAAAAGAGATAAGTTTTCCTAATATTACAATTAAATATGTAATATTATATGATTGATTACATGCTTTTACTACCTATTTGATAGTGTATGTAATGCATTTGAAGGAGACATACCTTTTGTTTGACGACACTGTTTCTTCTTGGATCCAATCATGCATGATGATGTAATCTTCCTCATGTTCTGCAATAGAAATGCTTTACCTACTGTGTTTTTGATGGGATGAGTTTATTGTGTTCAGATCAGTGTTGTAAATCCAATATTGTTGTTATTGGTTGTGTATTTATAGAGAAGGTAAACTGCTTTGTCTTGAAAAACAAAATTGTAGGGCTTAATTATTCATGTTATCAAGTACACAGAGAACTTGAAAGGTTTTTTAAAGTGTTGTGAATTAATCCCAATTTGTAATATTGTTTTTTTGTTATTATTTTAATGAAGTTGAAAGGTTAATGTATGTTGTTATAGTTTTATTTATTTAGGTGGTGATACTGTTCACTTGGTAACTGAATGTATATTTTTGTGTCTTCTATGTCCTACTTCAACATGTTGTAAACTATTAGCCCGTGTAAGTAGTTTAAATTGCCTACTGATTGCCTCATTTGTAATTACGAAATGAACTTGTTTATACATATATTTTTTTTTAGAACATGTTGAAGTTAATTTAAGTATACTGTGATAGGAAAACTGTATACAATTAGTTTACAGGTCATGTTAGAGTTTAAAATGAAAGAGTGGCCAATTCATTTGAAAACTGGATTAAGATAAAATTTGAATAAGTATATATAAGTTTGACTTCATTTAAACTTATTAAAATCGGTTTTTGCATGGGATCTTGAATTCGATTTTTGAGCATGTCATGTTACTTTACTAATTTTCAAGTGTTTTGCAGTAATAATAGTTAGGACATTTGAATTTTATTTTTCTAATTTACCAGTTGTAACAATAAACTTGACAGGATGATCCAAAGTTGTGAGGGCGAAAGGGATACACATTGTGATATTTTTTTTCTGAAGGCAAAGCATGTAACATAAGTATAAATACAAATTTTATATATAATTTACTGTGCCTGTATGTTGTATTTTTTCTTTTTTTGAAGGAAAACATCTGTTATATGTGTTTTGGTGTTATTATGATTGTATTTGATTGCATTTGTTCTGAATGCCTATTTCCAATTAATAAGCATCTTCCAATAAATTTAAGTTTATAGAATATCACTTCATACATTACTTGTGATTAGAATACAAATCCTATAGTATTCTATATCTAAATAGAACTTCTGGAGTTTATTATAGATCTCCTAAACTATTCTCTAACAATCTATAATCTTCTTGTTTGATCTTCATGCATAACATATGTTCCTTGAAATTGATTGGTCCACTCTTCTTGCAATGCATGGATCATTTGATAATTGTGTTTAGTTGCTATATTTGTATTCCAACAGCCTGCAAAACTATAAATATAAAGACAACAACAGTAATGACATAAAATCATATATTATGGGTAGTTATAGGTTGTTTTCTACATTTTTGTCTTACAAAAATGCAACCCAATTGCTCTTATCCCTGTTAAGACCTGTCATTTGATTATTGTGATAGGCTATTGTAAGAATAGTGATAGGCTATTGTAGGAATAGTGGTGAAGTCCTGCAAATTAGTCACAAATAGCATAGAAAGCAGGCATTCACTACATAATTGAAAAATTTCCCAAGTTTAACAAAAAAGCAAATAATTAAAAATGGATAGAAATGTCTAACTGGTCTCATCTACATAGGGCAAACAACTTAGCCCAAAATACTCAACAACCATTATCCAATTGTTTAAATTTAACAGACCCCGACTACTATTTCAAGGTTCCTTCAATTTCTCTAATTTCACAACCACCTCCTTAGTTTTTTTGGAGCTTTGGGTACTTGAAAATTCATCCATCAATGACCTTTTAACTGCCCCTGCTTCATAGCCATCACCAGTGAGGTTCTGAGAAATAGCCTGGAGAGGACTCTCGGCTTCATTGACATCCAACTCATCCTACACCAAAAAAATGATTTTATGGGCCAGGTATACAAACACTGAGACCCAGAGTTAACACCCATACAACCATATTTATGAGTTCTAAATACCTCGTCCTCCCACAGATCTTCTTCTGTAAGCTCAAGTTCAAACTTCGAGCTAAGGTCTTTATCCATTCACTGCATCAACTGTAGGGCATGTAGCTCTAACATTTCCACATCATTTATAATCCTCATCATCCTCATCACAGAAAACGCATTTAGGAGGTTTAGAAATTGTTCCCTTCGAACCGCAATTCTGAAAATTAGGTTGAGGCCAACCAATGCTTGAATCTCAGCAGGCACACCATTTTTTCCCTACAGTACAAAAATTTAAGAGGGTTAGATGTTCATTGAGTGAATCACAAATATAAGTAGTTAAGATTTCAAGGAAATGTATTGTGTTACCTCATAATTTTTCTGTTTCAATTCCAGTGCACTCATACCTAACAACTCAGTGCATTCCCTATCCCACATGACAAAGGGAGCATTTCCCTTTATGTCTACGACCCTGATTTTAATCCTATACCTCAAAATCCCATCTCCCCAAGTCCTATCACAGTCTTTGCAATATAGATACTCTTGTTTGGACTCCAACTTCTTGTAGCATGCTTTTGTACGACACGATGGATAGAACCACTCACCATCACAGTCAATGAAAATTATTCGAGCAGCTACCCAGAACTCTCCAAACTGCAGCATTGAGTAAAGAGATTAGTAGTTACTTCTCAAACAGGGTCTAGCTCTACAAAACTGTATTAAAACCAATAATGGTTCTTCAGTAGCCGAATTGTAGTACACTTCCACTTTGTTTACGTGGTCATCCCATACCGTACAACCCAATTGAATACCACTACAATTTTTAATAGATGTTAGTTATGAGTACAAACAATTTAGGAATAGAAAGTTATAAACGGCAGAAAATTAGAAACATACTCAGAATCCTCAATTACAAAGTCGATCAACCTTGAGTTTTAGTTTTTGCCATTTATTATCTTCTCTTGGGGAGCATGTATCTCTACCACACGGCCAATTACATCTAACACATTTTTTACAATGAAAAGTGGAATGTTAGTAAAAGAAATAGAAAATATATAAATTGAGATAAATAAAATATAAGAATATAGCCTTACCAAATAGTTGTTTTTCATCAACAGATTGATTAGCTTTTAGTGTCTTGAAATCCATCAACCTGTACATGTGCATTGGGAAATTCGTACCCTTCAACTCTTTTACAACAATTTGATAATTAAACTTTATCATGAATTTGTGTGGACTGGTTTTGAAAGAGTAGAAATTAGTGATGACCACAAAGTTCTTAGCACCGTAAACTTTGCCTTCTGTAAAAGTCGTCCGGAATTTGTCTACAAATTCCTTGGGTATGTGGGCATGCAAAAATGTGCCCTGCAAGAAATAGCAATTTATGATTTTATTGTTTGATGTAATGGTCAGTAATATGCTAGATTTTTTCCAGATTACCCAGTGCGTTTCAAAAAAAAATTACCTGCTGATCATGGAACACAATTTCTTTTGATTTGAGTACGGAAGACGACTTCCTTTCTTGGATGTCATACGCCCTCACAGTTCGCAAACGCAGTGCGTTGCGTGTATTCATTGGAGATATATCACTTGCAAGAACGTACATTGTTGCCTTCGTGTATCACCCGCAAATTTTGCTATTACGTGTAGATGAGCGTGTTTGATTCGAAGATGAGCACTGGTGTACAAATTCTGAGAATGTGATTTATATATACATGGCCTGCACTATCGTTGGAAACCCAAATTCGGCGTAATGAATATGTGAACATAATTGTTTACATAAATATGTTATCGGAAAACGCAGAGACCAACCTATTTCAAATTAGGTCGTTAATTTGATTGGTGGAAATTGATTCTGTAAACAAAAATTAAAAGAAAACAATTTTATTGTTTGAAATTTGTTGGTAACTGAACGGTTTCACATGGAATTCTACGCAAGAACAATAAATAATCGGCTGTGCTGTAAACGACGCCGTTCAATTTGGGCGGGAATTTTTTTAGCTATGTTATTTTGCTTTAATATATATAAAGATAACCTTAGAAATTGAAGGGAATCACATTCCCTTCAAAATCCTATGTGGAGGGAATGTGACATTCCTTGTGAATGTTAGATTCCCTGAGATAATATGAACCAAACATAGAAATGTGAGCTTTGGAATGTCACATTCCTTTGGTTAAGTTATATAACCTGAACCAAACGCCCCCTTAGAGAGAGATGTGATTTCTTGAAGGAGTGATTGTCCCACTATGTTTGTTCAAGGATTTCTCCATTAATAGTCCTTTCATTTCGTTTCTGGGATCTTAAAATAGAACTATGAAAAATATGTTTAAAGAGGCTATGATGATATTTTTCTTCATCGGGCATTGAAGGTGGCTCTTTTGCTGATAGTAAATAAATGAAAAAAAGGTGAAAGAGAGACAAATATTGCAATTATCAAATTGTCTTTTTATTTGACACCAGATGAACGGAATAACAAACCGAAGATTATATTAAGTAAAACACAAAAATCTAAGACTACATTGAATCACAAAAATCGTTTAGGACGAAAAATAAAAAAAAATAAAAAAAAAAAAACCCACTAGAGGATCATTTTGAGTATTAACTATTTTATATTTTATACTAGTCATTTGGGGGCCCATTTATAGGCCCAATAGTTATATTAGATAGATCATATATAATATTAAGCAGCCCAACAACAAAGCATTGATGCAGAAAATATAAATAGCACCCTCATTCCCTCTAGGCTCTAGCCTCTACATCGGCTTGAAGACTTTATTTATGGCCTATCCCAAAACATAACCAGATTCTTCCTACATTTTCATTACTAGAACTACTCTTCCTGTCTTGTGCAGTGATATCACTAGTCGCAGCCCACAGGCCACAACCGTTTCCCACGTTGATCAACACGGAGCAAGTGTTCGCTATAGATAATTTTGCAAAGCACTAGCTTAACTCTCACGTATCACTCAATCGTGTCTATACGTCGCCAATTCGTCCCCCTTTGAGACCACAGCTGTAAGCAGTCTTCTGCGTGGAACCAGAACCAATCCAACAGATGCAAAAAAAAAAAACAAAAATACAAATATGAATGAATAAATAATTAAAAATTGAGCCGCGGAGACACGGATTGACAGAAGAGTTGTGTTAGGCTGGAAAAAGATGGGTCGGCGCGGCTGGTAATTCGTAAACTCTGTTCAAGTGCCAAAGGGGTGGTGAGGACGATGTCGATACCGAAGGAGCCGGAACAAGTGATTAGACAGAGAGACGGATCGGTGCTGGGAAAAAGGACAATCCTCAAAAGCGACCATTTTCCTAGCTGCCAGAACAAACGCCTGTCTCCTCAGATCGATGGTGCTCCCAATTACCGAAAGGTTTTCCATTCATTTTACAATATCGCCCTCTTACAATGTTTGCCCCTTTATAAGTAACCCGATTTGGCAGGAGTTCTTACATTTTCTGAGCGTAATGCAGGAAAGTACATAGAAATGTTGACAATTAATGTCAAATTGCAAGAGTACTCATTACAGTTAGGCAGCAGTATTACTACTTTTCCCTCCTTGTCGGGACAATGTACACGTAGCCCCAATTGAAGATAGTCAACCTGAGTGTTTACTAAATCTAACCACCCAATTCCAAATTTGTGAATGATAGTTGGACAATAGAATTGCACAGAGAGAATTAAAGCACAAATACTGTGAAATGTGCTTGCAATGCAGTGTGTTGATACATCTGACTGTTTTGGGAAGATGAGGAGACATGAATGCTGTGGATATCTATTTAAAGACCCTCAATTGATAGACATTTGATGTCCACCAAGATGTATTAGCAAACTGATATTGCATAGTGTTGATACATTCTGTTAAGTGTATTTGTGCCCTTTTTAGTGTATTTTTGTCTACTCCGTGTTCCGAAGTTATTTGTGTATAGAGTTTTGGATGGGGAGCTGTGAAAGAAGGAATGAATTAGCTTGAGGAATTTATTATGTGTAAACTATGTAGACTGCTATTTTATGGGCTGTTTGCTAAAGTGGCAGGACGAAATTTTTGTTAATTGTCTTGCCATATTGGTGACTATTAGATGCAAAGAAATTTGCACTTTTCCTTTCCTGGGGCATTGCTACGCTGTAAGAGTATATTTTAATTGCCTGATGTCATAGTAAAAAAAAAAGGAAAACTTTTATTTTTTATGGTATTTTCTGCAAACAGAGATAAAAACTTGGAAAAACTTAACATGTAGGATTGGTTGTCATACTCTGATCTGTGTTATTTGCTTTTCTTTGTTTTGCATTTGACTGGTACTACATTGTTGTATAGTGGGTGGCTGAAAGAAGTCAAGAACTTTGTCAGTTTGGCAAGAAAAATGATTTCCTTATGGTTAATGTAGAGGAAAAAGGTTTTGGGCCTTTGCCCATCAAGATTTTGGTTGGAAAATAAAGGCAATTCTTTTGTTTTCATGTCAGTTCAATGGACTAGACTTATTTGATTGATTCATGAATAGTTATCTCTATTTGAGCTTTATTTTGGTATTATTCTGGGTTCATAGCTGATGCCTTTTAATAAACCTTTAGAAGATATCCAGAGTCTAAGAGAAGTTAAAAATCTGGACCCTTGTTGCATTGTTCAAAAGTAATGTGCCAGCATTTGTAGTTCTGTCTGTTTTAATTTTTGTTGTTGATGTGGAGCTTCCATGCCATGATATTTCTCATAAGGTTGTAAAAGATATTGCCATCTTGCTGATGGCATTTAATTATTGAAATTGTTTAAGATTCCATGTGTTGTTAGACTTCTAATAATTCCCTAACAAGAAGTATCATTATAGGCTGATTCTCTGCATGTTCATGGTGTTGCTATTCCAACTGTTGATGGTATCCGTAATGTTCTTGATCACATTGGAGCTCAGGTGGATGGGAAGCAAACTCGCTTTCTCTGGATTAATCTTCGTGAAGAACCGGTGACATATTTTTGTCTTTTTTTCCAAGCCAATTTTAGGTTTCAGAGAATTTATTTGTTACACTTTATGTCAAGAACATCTTTTATTTCCATTCCTTATTGGTTTAATATGTTAGTGGTGGAGCTCAATCAAGGAATATTGTGTAATTATTATTCACTTCCCACTGCTGAAACAGGTGGTATACATTAATGGGCGCCCTTTTGTTTTGCGTGAAGTGGAGAGGCCGTTCTCTAACCTTGAATATACGGTGCGTTCATGTGGACAATCTTTTGATTTTGAAATTAGCATACATTTAAATATCTTTTTTAAGTTCACTTGAAATGATGAGCTAAATTAGGTGCATACGATCTTATATACTGATGATGTAACTAGTTACCCTCTTCATGAAACTTTTGAGTTAACCGGAATGATGCCTGGGATTCTATGGTCACTCGATTGCTGTATATTTATATATTTTCCTTATGAAAGCTAAGCTTATTCATCGAGTCTGCTAACTATGAGAATACTTGAATTATTGTCTCGGGAAGATATGTACAGTCTAATTTTAAGAGTGGGCTGAGGCTGTAGCAGTTCAATTTTCTTGTCTTGCCACTGAAGTCATTATGTTCACTTGCTTCTGCTTGAACTAGGATATTTACTATGTCTCATCTGTCAAGCTCCAATTGCATGTTTGTTTTATCTCATCTCTGTTTGTTGGTTTTTGTATATCTTGTTAAATGGAGCTCATACTTTCGTATTAAGCTAGGGCATTAACAGGGTGAGGGTGGAGCAAATGGAGGATCGACTGAAAGAAGATGTCCTGATAGAGGCTGCAAGGTTTCCCCCTATATTCTTTATCTAGCTTACTCCTTTCTTGTCCAACTTTGCTGTTACATGCAATTTCATGCTTGGTTTCAAACTTATACTAAAGTCTGGACATTTAATTAACAGATATGGAAATAAGATCCTTGTAACTGATGAACTCCCTGATGGCCAGATGGTAGATCAATGGGAACCTGTGACACAGGATTTGGTGAAAACGCCATTGGAGGTTTGCCATTATACATTTTATTCAAATTTGCAATGTAAAAATGTTACTGGTGTTTGATTATTCATCTTGTCTCCACCTTCATAATTTTTCTCCATTCACAGGTGTATGAGGAGCTGCAAGCACAGGAGTACCTTGTTGACTATGAGCGTGTTCCTATAACAGATGAAAAGTCACCCAAAGAGATGGATTTTGATACTTTGGTTTGTACCCCTATCAATCCTTTTGGTTTAATGTCCTTACACTTTTCAGGTTTATTTACCGTTTCATTTGATTCATATAGGTTTATTATGTATTCTTTATGGAATAATTTTCATATACATGTGGCAGTATGGAAGGAGGGAGCCAAGAATGACCGGGGATGGGCTTTGTTTATACTACCACATATTTGTTTCATTCTATGGAAGCATAATTTCTTTCTTAATGCTAAAGGTTTTATTCATTAAAAGCCAAAATGCATCAACTGAATCTTTGTTATTATTATTATATTATTATTATTATTTTCTAAATAAGGTATGATACTGTAGCATATTTTATATATATTGTTACCTTAACTTTTTGTATTGGTACTGGAAGGAGTGGAAGCCATAATTTTACTTTTTGTTGAACTCCTTTTTACAAAACATTCCCAATTTTAGTTGTGAAGTAGTCTTCTCTTGTAGCTGTTTTTGTTTTAAATGGGAATATCACGGCATGAACTGAATCTATTATTCCATTTTAATACATGTTTTCAAACTTCCAGGTTCATAAAGTGGCTCAAGCTGATATAAAGACAGAAATAGTGTTTAATTGCCAAATGGGACGCGGACGGACTACAACTGGAATGGTGATTGCTACATTGGTTTATCTTAACCGTATAGGAGCCTCTGGTACTTATCATTTCTATCCACAACTTCCTGACTTATTTGTCATTCTCCTTTATGTCCATCTCATACTTTAGGCATCACCCTTTCTATCTTTTCTGTTTTTCTTCAATTTATATTATTCTACTTGCTCTTGTTCAATGATTGAGGCATATGGCCTTTTTAAATCTTAATTTGTTGGACATTTTTCCTGTGTTCTTTTTAGAGCTTTTTAAAATCTAAATGTTCTACTTCGCTATAACTTGTTTGCATAATAGTGTTTCTTAGCTAATTAGAAATTAGAACTTTGAAAACAAAATGTTTAAACATGAGTTATATACAATCGGGATGAAATTAATAAATTATCAGAAGTTACTAGACATTATATATATATATATATATATATATATATATATATATATATATATATATATATATATAGAGAGAGAGAGAGAGAGAGAGAGAGAGAGATTAGTGATCATATGAGAACCACTCCCCCCCCCCCCCCCCCCCCGGTAAGAACATGAGAACCAATTTGGTGCATTAAAAGGGACAGATCTATGGATGAGATTAATTGGGGGAATTAAAAACGCATGTGTGCATATTAAGCATGTGTTGTGTGTGCATATCCTATGTTGCACACAACACATGCTTAATATGCACATATCATAACGCTCCATATGCACACGCACGGTTTTAATTCCCCCAATTAATCTCATCCATAGAGGGCAAATAAGTAAGATCCACAGCAATGCACCGTCACAAATCAGCATACTATTCCTTTCAAACTAAGCTTTCTAAACCAAAAAGACTTCCAACCTTGTCTTCATCTATGCAACCATAGAAACTTCTTCTGGAGTACGAAGACATATTTTCCCCACAGCCTTGTGCATCCACGTAATTAATGTTGTGCATACATGTTTTCACATCAGTGCAATGTGAGAAAAATGCGGTGCACTATGAAACAATAGTGGTCATACGTATTTCCTGTAGAGCATTCCCACATTGTTTAGCAGTGCAACGTAGTGTTAGTTGTGGTGCATCCCCATAATTACAGCAGTGCAACAAAACATATGCATTAGTTTAAACCAAGGTTGCAAAAATCGGCACCGACTAGGTGGTCATCTAGGCAGCCTAGGCTGGAGTTTAGGTTGCTGGTTATTTATTTTTCCGTGTTTTTTTTAATGGGTTATTCTGCTCAAACCAACGCCGTTTTTAGTAAAATAACTCTAAATTGTTTAAATTGGTCGCACACCCAAAAAATGTAATACAAAATTATTTGAAATCAGGTACTCTAATATTAATACTTTGTGAGTTGTGACTTTGTGTTGTGTTTTGATTCTTTAAATCTTTATACAATTTACAATTCTAAATGTTTTTTAGGTTAATATTTCATATTTTAGTACTAACTATTAAAGTATTAAATAGTTTATAATTACAAAGTCTTAAATAAATTTTTTTTAAAAAAAATCTTTTAAATTAAAAAAAAAAAAAACGGGGGCGCCTAGCGTTTTTTTCAACCTTGGTTTAAACTCGACTTGCATTAGATTGAATGAATGAAAACTAACAGTAATGGTAACACACACAGAAGGACCTCCTTGCAAATTTCCTTGATGACGTATAGCAGCCACTAAAAGTCGTAAATACAACCTAGAATAACCACGGCCGCACACGGAAGAAAATGGGGAAGGATAGATGCAATATGATACGTTAACACCGCTAAAAACAGGACAATTCCGCGAAAGGAAACAACATGCACAAGCAAACGTGGGTAGAATATACGAAAATGCCCCCTTCCATGGAAAAAAACGGAAACTGCATTAACAAATCTCATTAAACCATAACCATCAGATCTCATAAAATCAACAGCCAAGATTTGTCTTCACGTCCTCACCTAAAGAGTAGTTCTCATATGAACAGGAATCTCTCTCTCTCTCTCTCTCTCTCTCTCTCTCTCTCTCTCTCTCTATATATATATATATATATATATATATATATATATATATATATATATATATATATAGATAGATAGATTTTTTCAAAGTAGGACCAACATGGGAATAATATATAGGGTTTTCAATGATGATAATTGTGCTATGGCAGCTATCACAACCATAGTAGTCCATTAGTTATGTTCTTAGGGGTGGCTTGACAGAGAGCATGACATTGATGCTCTGATTCAAGATAAAAACATTCCCAGCTTTGCTTGTGTCTTTAGTTAAACCATTCCAGTGTGATGCTGTTGTTCTCATTTATCAGGAATTCCAAGGACAAATTCAATTGGCAGAGTTTCCAGTTGTGGTGCCAATGCTACTGATATTATGCCCAACTCAGAGGATGCAATTCGTAGAGGAGAATATACAGTTATTAGAAGCTTGATTCGAGTTTTGGAGGTTGGAAAATCTCCTAATCTTTAATCTCCATGTTTGGATAAATAGAATATCTGATTTGAATGTTCTGATTGGAATTATACCTTTAGGGTGGCGTTGAAGGCAAAAAACAAGTGGATAAAGTCATTGACAGATGTGCCTCAATGCAGGTAGGGGCATCCTCATATTCTAGCTGTTTAAAACCCGCTTGTATTTCATAGAAAGCCTATACACCTTGTACAAACTTTGCTCTCATTCATGTTTTTCCTTCATATAGAATTAAGAACTATGCAATGAGATTTTAGTCACATTTGTTTCAGGTGTGGGGTGACTTTTCTGTAGAAAATTCCATTACCATCTGGCTCTATTTTCAATTTCCATGATATTCAAATTCCATCAGTTTGAACTGATAGTATGTGAATCTCATTTCAGAACCTACGTGAAGCTATTGCTACTTATCGGAACAGCATTTTGCGTCAGCCTGATGAGATGAAGAGGGAAGCAGCACTTTCCTTTTTTGTGGAGTACTTGGAAAGATATTACTTCCTTATTTGTTTTGCTGTATATCTCCACACAGAACGAGATGCACTTCACCCTAGATCTTCTGGTTGGAGCAGTTTTACCGACTGGATGAGAGCAAGGCCAGAGTTGTATAGTATACTTCGCAGGTAAGATGAAAGTCTACTCTGTTGATGTTTCAAAATCCACCTTTGCTTTGAATTATAGGGTCACAAGTATATTAAAAAATGCCTGTATTCCTACATTGCAGAATCTACATCTGTGCATGATCTAGTATGCTAGATTGCCAGTACATTTAAATATATTTTTTATATCAAGATAAGTTTTTTTTTTCTTATTGTTGGCAAGTAAAATGGACATAAAAGCTGTTATGTTATTATTTATATATGTTGAAGTAGTTAAGAAAGTGGGAGACACCAGAATAGCTATTCAGAGATAAGTGGAGAAAGTTATATATGCATGTCACCTGTAGATTGATGTGTTCAGTCACATCATCCTTCATGGGTATCAAGAGGGAGGATAGTTTTTGAAGACTTGCTAATTTTGTTTCTTGACAACCTTTCTGTACAAGATGGCTTCCTTTCCATAGTACAGTGATCTGAAAGGTGAAAATTTTCTCATTCTTGTTTAGCTTGAGGTTCTCTCTTTCTCAAATGCATGCACACACTTTCGTTAAAACTTCATAGAATTACTCACTATTGTCTTTTTTGTTTAGTTTGTGTCTTTTTCCAAATAAAGTGAAAATAACTCTCTCTCAATGCTCTCTATGTCTCTCTACATGTGTACACTAGGCATACTTCTTTGTGGCACTTGTTAGAACTTGCCATTCTGCAGGTTGCTGAGAAGAGACCCGATGGGTGCACTAGGCTATGCAAGCCTGAAACCTTCCCCAGCAAATGATGTGGAATCTACCAATGGCCGCCCTTCTGAGATGGGCCAAGTTGCTGCTTTAAGGAGTGGAGAGGTTCTTGGAAGTCAAACTGTTCTTAAGAGTGACCATTGTCCTGGTTGTCACCATCCTAGTTTGCCAGAAAGGTTGGAGGGTGCTCCTAATTTTAGAGAAATTCCTGGATTTCCTGTCTATGGTGTTGCAAATCCAACTGTAAGTGGGATTCTATCTGTCATTCAAAGGATTGGTAGTTCCAAAGAAGGTCGTCCAGTTTTTTGGCATAACATGAGAGAAGAACCTGTGATCTACATCAATGGAAAGCCCTTTGTGCTCCGAGAGGTTGAAAGGCCCTATAAAAATATGCTGGAATATACGGTACAAATCTGCTATTTGATAACTTCATAAATAGTACTCACGGATATTGACGTGCTAGTGCATGCTCAATCTTTTGAAGATCATTAAGTACATGACACCTGTTAATTTTGTTTGCTCTCTCTCACTCATGTTTAAGAGCATCTGTTTGGAGTGCCTCTTAGAACTTGTGTCTGGTGGGCTTGGTGTTGTTGCTAAGGCACAAGCTGTTGATTTATGAATCATGGGTTCAAGCTTTAGAAACCATTCTTACAAGAACTAAAGTTGCACTTCTTTTTTTTTTTTTTTTTTTTTTTTCTAATGGGCTCAACATGATGTAGACAGGAGCTTTGCATGCTAAGTGTAACCATTTTATGATTTTTTTTTCCCTGCCAACTATAATACCTTTTTTCTCCATAATATAATTTTGGATCATTTAATAATCTTTTATTGAAACTCCTGTTGTATGCTTATTCAGCATTTTATTATGCAAAAATGCATGTCTAATACTCATTATGTTATGTCTATGTTTACATTTCATTAAGAGTTCCCCTTTCCCTTGGAAACTAGTGAAGCGATTATCTTTCCTTTATCCTTGTGCTCTCAGAATTTTCTTGACCAGACTTGTGTTGAAACTGTTGTGTCCTGATCTTGTGGCATATCTTAAAGGAAGTTTATGGCGTATATGTTTTTAACTTTTTCAAATCTTATATTTTCTGAAATGTATGTGTGTGCCTTGTCTATTTTAACTAATATTCTATTTAATAAATGCAAAACCTAGGGAATTGATTGTGAAAGAGTAGAAAGAATGGAAGCTCGATTGAAAGATGATATTATGCGAGAAGCTGAACGTTATCATGGTGCTATAATGGTTATTCATGAGACTGCTGATGGGCAAATATTTGATTCTTGGGAGCATGTGAGCTCTGATTCAGTTCAGACCCCATTAGAGGTCTTTAAGTGCCTGGAGGCTGAGGGTTTTCCCATCAAGTATGCTCGCATTCCTATTACTGATGGCAAAGCTCCAAAAAGTTCTGACTTTGACACATTGGCATTGAATATTGCATCTGCTTCCAAGTATACGGCGCTTGTCTTTAATTGTCAGGTAATATTATCTTCTATTTAGGAGGTATTAGCACTTGACCATTTTAGTTATGATTTTTCTGCCATTTTGAGTTTGAAATGAAAGCTGTTCATTTTTATATTTCTGAGATCACTTTTTTTTTACCCATCTCAACCCTCTTCTCAGATGGGGATAGGAAGGACAACCACCGGAACTGTAATTGCTTGCCTTTTAAAACTGCGCATTGACTATGGAAGACCAATCAGAGTATTAAATGATGCATTGCATGAGGAATTAAGTGGTGATATTTCAAGTGGTGATGAAAGTGATGGTCATGTTCCTCCATATGCACCACTTATTTTAAAAACAAGGCCTAAGAAAGATTCAAGTCATGAATTTGGGATAAATGACATCCTGCTGTTGTGGAAAATAACAAGGCTGTTTGACAATGGGGTGGAATGCCGAGAGGCCTTGGATGCTATTATTGATAGATGTTCAGCTCTGCAGAATATACGCCAAGCTGTCTTGCAGTACAGAAGATTGTTTAACCAGCAGCGCACTGAGCCTAGAGAAAGGAGGGTGGCACTGAATCGTGGTGCTGAGTATCTAGAGCGCTATTTTCGTTTGATTGCTTTTGCAGCGTATCTTGGGAGTGACGCATTTGATGGATTCTGTGGGCAAGGAGAATCAATGACAACATTTAAGCATTGGTTGCACCAGAGGCCAGAGGTTCAAGCTATGAAGTGGTCTATTAGGTTGAGGCCTGGCCGTTTCTTTACTATTCCCGTAAGTGGTTGTTTTGCTTAAGCTTCTTGATAAAGAGGCTTAGCCTTGACTTTGGAACTTCTATAAAAAAGAGGTTTTTGCATCTTATCTGGCCTTAAATGTTTTTTGCTCTTTTTAGTGTTTGGCCCAACTTCTACTTTTTAAAGTAGAGGCTATGGACCAAACAAGCAATGAGCCGTCATCAGAGCTTCTCAAGGTTGCTGATAGGTTTCTTCTATTCCTTTTCACTCTGTTGTACGTTTTTGTGCAGGAGGAACTAAGAACTCCACATGAGTTGAAACATGGAGATGCTGTCATGGAGGCCATTGTAAAAGATCGTAATGGTTCTGTTCTAGGAAAAGGGTCTATTCTTAAGATGTACTTCTTTCCTGGTCAGAGAACTTCAAGTCACATTCAAATTCATGGTGCGCCTCATGTTTACAAGGTACTCATGAGCTGCACTGCATATTTTTTGACAATAAATAGGAGATGAATTTTGTGCATTCATGGGGAGTTTCCTAATCACACTCTTTATTTGGTTTAGTGCTTAGATATATTGGAACTTGTAAAGGGTCTAAGAACTACTGATGTAACATTTGGCGGTACCTGCTTGGTACTTAAGCTGAGATTCTTTACCTACCAAAAAAAGAAAGAAAGATTGAATTTATGAGTTTTTGTTTTGTTTTGTTTTTCCCCCCATTTATGAGTAGTTTTGGTATTTCTATAAATAGAACATACTGTGTTTGGTATGGGGATAAAAGTAGAAGGGTTGTATAATACAGCCAACAGAGGAGGTATAGGGGTAATTATCCTCAATGTCTTTGGAGGAAATTTGAAGAGAAGTCAATAATGGGTTTGCTGCCACCCTTCTATACTAGAATTTTCAACCCCTTTCTAACATTGGATTGATGAGAGGGCGAAATCACTTTTACTCCCTCTCCTTGTTAGTCCATAGAAAATGAGTAGGACTTCATTTCCTTTTAGCAGAAAAATATCTACCCTTTCCTCATGGAACTCATTAAGAAATACAAAGGTTGGATGGTTATCATGCAAGTCCCAATATATCTTAAGAGGGAAACGACTTTTAACTTTGAAAGCTAGCCGGAATTTTTCAAAAACACTTTTCTCCATCTGTTTGAGTTGGGTTTGATTCCGAATATGTTTAGTCAATATTTTGAAATATCAAAACCAATTAGAGTTTTTCAAAATCATTTTTGATGCACTAAAACAACTTTTAAAGATTAAAGCCATTTTGAAACTTTTGAGCCATTAACTTCGCATACCAAAGCCAAGTTCTTGCAAGTATGTCTAACACATTGATCTTGACTCATCACTTCCTTTGTAAACAACCAAATAATAAAAGTGGATTTGATTATCCTACACACTTCATTAGTGGCATTGTTTGTTAATATCAAAAATTCAAAATCAAGACCGTTCTTGACTCATCACTTTGTAAACAACCAAATAATAAAAGTGGATTTGATTATCCTACACACTTCATTAGTGGCATTGTTTGTTAATATCAAAAATTCAAAATCAAGACCGTTGTTTGCCCACGAGAGTGCTAACATACCATCCAACCATCTAATTGATATGTTAAGAGTAATGTTGATCATTGTCTTCTACATATATCAATTAGGAAAGATTATCTATCATGTTTATGTTGATGATGTTGTTATCATAAATGATTATACAGAGAATAAACCAACTAACTAAAAGGAGACTTGTTTCACAATTTTGAAATTAAGGATCTTGGAAAGTTGAAGTATTTCCTTGACATAGATGTTGCACAAAAAAAAAAAGGTATTTGTGTTTCTGAGTGGAAATATGAATTGAATATTCTTTGAGGAGAAAGGTATGTTGGATTGCAATCCTCATATGAGGGCAAGTGGGATGTAATTTTTAGAATTTTAAGGTATCTAAAAAGGTCTCTAGTACTAGTTTGCTATATGAAAATCATTGACATGTAAAGCTCCTTGGTTATACAGATGTAGATTGGGTCAGATACCCTTAGGATATCATATCTTGGAAAGTAAGAAACAAGATATGGTTGCATGCTCAAGCACAAAGGCCAAATATTGAGCAGCAACACTTGTAGCATGCGAACTGATTCTATTTGGGTTAAACATCTTTTAGAATTTAAATTTTGCAAGCTTGGATCTTTGAGGTTGGTATGTGATAATTAGACAACATTGCATGGTGTACCCGATCCCGTCTATCATGAAAATACCAATCATATTGAAGTGGTGTGTGAAATAAATATGTGATAAGTATGTTATGATTGTTCATATATTTCTAGTATACCTTTGGTTTATTTTGCAGATTTTTAGTTTAATCTAAATAAGCCTATAAATACTAGGCTCCATTTATACTTTTATCTTTACATTATTAAAATGTTTTATTTGTTTTATATTATATTCTCTATTCACTTGCTCTTGTATCTTAGCTTTTGCCTCCCTGGGGGATCGTAGTTATTAGTCACCAGGCAAACCACCTTAATTTTCAACATGGCATCAAAGCAGTAAGTTCTAAATTTTCAATTTCTTTTCTTGGTCGTTGCAAATATTTGCCGGAGGCACTATTGTTAACCCAATTCCAACAACCACTGAAGATGCGATCCCCTTAGTAACAGCAAACCTATGACGTTAATGACATGAACTTCCATTATGAAGCTACAAGTTGTTTCCCCAATTCCAACAACAATTTCTTTTTCTTTACTGTTATTATTGCTTTTGTTGTTGTTGTTGTTGTGAAGCTACAAATTGAAAATTTCATTGAGAGGTCATCCTTTTCAGGTGGATAAGTATCATGTGTATAGCATGGCAACTCCTACAATTGTTGGTGCCAAGGAGATGTTAACTTACTTAGGTGCAAAGCCTGGGATAGAAGGAAATGCTGCTGACAGAGTGGTTTTAACAGATCTCAGGGAAGAAGCTGTGGTTTATATCAATGGTACTCCTTTTGTGCTTAGAGAACTGAATAAGCCTGTTGATGCCCTCAAGCATGTTGGAATTACTGGTTCATTGGTATGAGTTCAATCTAATGTCATGCTTGTAAACAACATTAAAAATCTGATTTAAGTAATGCAGATTCTTTTTTTCACCATTGCACAGGTGGAACACATGGAGGCAAGACTAAAAGAAGATATTATTTCCGAAATAAAGCAGTCTGGTGGCCGGATGCTTTTACACCGTGAAGAATATAATCCAACACTGAACCAAGTCAGTATTGTAGGGTATTGGGAGAATATTTTTGTAGATGATGTGAAGACTCCTACTGAGGTATATGCTAGTTTGAAGAAAGAAGGATATAATATAACCTATCAGAGGATACCTTTAACTAGAGAAAGAGAAGCTCTGGCTTCTGATGTCGATGCTATCCAATATCGTAAGGATGAGTAAGCATCAGTAACCATCTTGAAGTGATTTATTTTCTATGAATTTGTTGTTGCACTTTAACTTTATCCATTAGTATGCCATTTTGAAAAGGGTAAAGTTTGCACCAAAGTTGCTTCCTTGTACTAATAGTGCAGCAGTCATCTACATTAAATTCGACATTGCAGGGTAAAGTATACAATTCCAAAATTTGTCCAATTAGTTGCTAAACAACTATGTTACAAGAAAATCACAAACTTTACCAAGTTGGAATTGCTAATATATTAGCTTTTTGAGCTTATACTAGGTATGAGGTATTTGTTGTTGTCAAATTTGGAAGAAAGTGAGATGCTTCCTATTCACATAAAATTTATACAAGAGTCTACATATTTAAGGAAATATCTCACCAAAAAATAAAAAATAAAAAATAAAAAAATCTCACTATTTATCTACTAATTCTATATAATTAAAACAGAGTTTGTTGATTAAATGGCTTCATCTTCTATTTTGAATGGCCTTTCCTTTATCCCTTGATTTAAAAAATTGTCTTGGAATCTTGACTAATTTTTATTATTTTCTTGACTTTCTCCTTGAACAGCTCAGCAGGGTCCTACCTTTTTGTATCCCACACAGGATTTGGAGGGATTGCGTATGCAATGGCTATCATTTGTCTCCGACTTGATGCAGAAGCAAAAATAGCATCAGATATGACCAGTTCATTGGTTGATGAGGAAACATGCAAAATGGGATATTATCGAGACATATTAAGCCTAACTAGAGTTCTTGTGCATGGTCCGGAGAGCAAGGTAGATGTAGACAATGTTATAGAAAGGTAATTCCAAAAGAACTTAATACTTACTGTCATACTGACAAGGTGGGAAGAGAAAAGGGTGGAGTGCAGACTTGTTTTGGGATTGGTAATGAACTGGAGTCGGTAAATTGGTATTCACTGAGCTGGGCATCAATTATTCTCCAAAGCTTTCTAACTTCTGCAGTATACTAAAATTTTCTTCTAGGATCAAGCAGTCGAAGCATCTTAAGTTTCAAACCAGCATAGGTGTTTACAGCCACTCATTACTGGAATAACAAATAAATACAGTTTTGAGTGGAGAATGGCTTAAATTTGATAAAATATGAGCCTGTATTTCTTTGGAGGCTATGCTTATTTAGCTATGAAAGGGATTCTTGTTTGGTATTCAACAAGGTTTAGGACACAGCATCTCAACCTCCTGGTTTGGAGTAGGCATTATGAATTAACCCCCTCCCCCCACCCCTTCCCATCCTTTTTATGGTTTATGTTGTATACTGTAGAGAAATGGTTGCCTAAACATGTGATTTCTTGTTGTGAGGGAGAGCATGCATATTTTATGTACACCTTTTCTATTACATCTTTGCACTCTTTTTATAGAATCTGCATATAGTGAAAAAGCATTAGAATTATATCTTATCAGGTGGAAAATGAAATGAATTTTAAAGTGGACCCACAAATTGGAGCCATGAAACTGAAAAAGGAATGTGTGAGATCTTCAACCAAATAGGAACTAAGGCTTAGTCAGGTGGATTGGTTCACAGGATTGAGGAGAATTGGAATAAGAATCTCTCTCAATGACTCAATTCAATGGAATACTTAAGATCTTGGGATTAGGTGGTGGATCTTGACTAATTTGAAAGTGCAGACTAAACTACAGTATTGATCGTAAATGGGTTGAGATTATTTAATCCCAATAAACAAACTCACTTGTTTGTGCTCTAAAAATGTATAGTAGTCAAGTGTTATGACTAGACATACTAGTTTTAAATACACGCACACACAGAGTATATGATGTATGTTGAATTGTCGATGACCAATCTATTTGTGTTTTAACTCTCCTCTGCTGTTATGTGTCCAACCCTTCTAAAGGTGTGCTGGTGCTGGACATTTAAGAGAAGATATAATTTACTTCACGAAAGAACTTAAAAAGTTCCCCGATGATGATGATGATGAACACCGAGCATATCTCATGGATATGGGAATTAGAGCTCTAAGGTCAGTCTCAAGATTCAATTAATTATTATATGTTCTGGTCCCAGAACATCTGGACCCATTTATTTCAAGAAACTGTTTTCTGTTTTCTGTTTAGAAAACTTGTTTACTAAATGCTTGTATTTTCAATTTTTTTTTTCTTAGACTAACCTTATAAAATTAACATAAGGTTAATTTTGAGTAAATTTTAAACATTATATTTATAATATTTTTGGATATGTTTAATTTAAATGGAATAAATATATTTTTTACTTTTAAGTCTAATATAGGTAAGATTTTTACATTTGATATTCGAACCAAATTTATATACATATAAGTTCAACCAAAATTTAGTTTAGATAATATTAATATTTTTTGAGCTAATATTTAAAATATGTTTGTATTTATTCATTTCAATGACATGTATATAGATAATTTTTACTTTGAATTTTAATATATGTGAAATTTCAATATGCGATATCCGGGCCAAACTTGTATTACAATATAACATAACTAAAAAATATCCGAACCAATAATCTATTGAGTTCAATCAAAATATAAAACTTGGTGTAAGTTCAAGTTTTAAATTTTGATAATGTGAATAATGTCTAACTTTAAGCATAAGCAAATAAGTTATGTTTATATAAGTAAATACGAGTAGAAAAGATAGAAGATGGTAATAAGTAAAAGGAGATGGATAATGAATGTAATCATTGTAATGAATAAATATGTGAGTAGATAATGGTGAGAATGCGGTTATAGTGATATATAACCAAATAGATGATAAATGATTTTGTTTTCCATTTTTAGAAAATAGTTTTTAAAAGTTCTTCAGTTTTCTAGAAAACTAGAAAATGTTTCCAATTTTAAAAATGAAAAAATGTGTTAGTAAACATGTTTTTTGTTTTCTATTATCCATTCTCCATGGTGTGAAGTGAGAAGCAGTTTGCATTATGCTAACCAGACTTTTGATTGTATGTGGATTGCTTTATTGTATTCATGTTTATTGCAAAGTAAACTTTGAGTAGACTAAGGAAAACCTGTTGCTGTGGTGAATAACAGAGTTGCCTCTTTCATTTCCAGGCGGTATTTTTTTCTGATCACATTTAGATCCTATCTGTACTGCACATCTGCTAGTGAGATGAAATTTACTGAATGGATGGATGCCAGACCTGAACTTGGTCATCTTTGTAACAACCTTAGAATTGACACGTGAAGCAAATGTATGCTCATCAAAGATATAATGTAAAAGAAGTCTCGCCATCTGTTACGCACGTGCACAGAACATTAAACCTTGTCTACATCAATCAATGGTGTGGGCAAATATAATGTTTCAATCCTTGCATATAAACAAGGAACCTGGTAAGTTATTTGCACTATGCAATCAATTAAAGCAAGAAGCTGCAGACCAAGGGTGCTACTGAAAGTTCTCAGCAAGCATGTGTGGCCACATTGCGATAATTAGCCTTTTTGTGTATAATGTCTGTTATTTCTGTCCTTTTTTCTTCTTTTTATAATTCTTTGTTTTTTGGATTGGTTTACGCAAGAGAAGTGGACTTGGCTGCCTAGTATCAACCAATCACAGTTCTCAACTCTAATTACTAGCGCTGTATTTATGAACATGACTTTCTCGTTAGATATGAATATTTTACAGAATTAGTGCAACTCTTTGATCTATAATGTAATGTGGATTTGTTGAATAAATATCACTATCACATTTCATTAAATATCACTACTCTAAAATTCCTTGAGATTATCATTCCCCTAGCAGTGACAATCACAAGGTATTGCATTCTTCTCTTGGGCCCACACCCCGGCGGCCCGACAGAGCATTGGGAGGATGTAAATCATGATAACTTAGTTAAACACAGAGGCTAGACATTCGCTTACTACACACAAAGAGCTTCCTCACTTTAAAAAGTTACTCAGAGCTTAACACAGAGGTAAGACATTTGCTTACTGCACACAAGGATTCCTCTCACTTGAGAGGTTGCTCACACACTAACACTTGTGAGACTCGATACCTGGTCATTCTAAGTACGCAAATTATGCCATGGAACCGTGTTCACCGAGAATGGTGAACACAAGGCAAAACGACGTCGTTTTTAGGCAAAAAAAAAAAATTTCGCGGATGTGGAGTTAACGGCGCGCGTTTGATCAGATTATGAATTTTCTGTTATGAGATTATGAATTTTATAAAAATTCATAATCTCATAACAGAAAATTCATAATCGCATAACAGAAAATTCATAATCTCACAACTGAAAATTCATAATCTCATAACAGAAAATTCATAATCTTATAACAGAAAATTCATAATCTCATGGTTCCAAAGTGAATGTGTAGGCATGGTTCCAACGTGAATGTGCAGGCATGGATTCATAATTTATGAATGTCCGTGATTTCGGACGGGAATATGTAGGCATGGTTCCAAAGTGAATGTGCAGGCATGAATTCATAATTTATGAATGTCCGAAATTATGAATGTAATGAAAATTCATAATCTCATAACAGAAAATTCATAATCGCATAACAGAAAATTCATAATCTCATAACACAAAATTCATAATCTCATGGTTCCAAAGTGAATGTGTAGGCATGGTTCCAAAGTGAATGTGCAGGCATGGATTCATAATTTATGAATGTCCGTGATTTCGGACGGAAATGTGTAGGCATGGTTCCAAAGTGAATGTGCAGGCATGAATTCATAATTTATGAATGTCCGAAATCTTTGTTCACCTCAAATTAAAGTGAAACCGCAAAATGTGAAAATAAAGAAGAAAAGTCACGCAATTAATTAAGGAAAAAAAGAAAAAGATAACGGTGTACTAACACCGTTGGAACCGTGTTCACCATGAATGGTGAACACGGTTCCATGGCATAACGTCCCTTCTAAGTATTACATTAATAATTAATAATATTATATAATGTATAAAGTAACCTGAAATGTTTGAACAGCTTCAAATATACAAAGTAATCCTGATACATGTGTAAATGGAACTATAGCCCAGTCAGTTTTGAAGTTAAAGTGCAAGTAAAAACAGATTCAAGAAGCTTATCCAATGCTTTGCACTACGGAACAATGTAAGTAAAAATAGATCCAAGAAGCTCATCCAATGCCCTGCTATCTCCGCATCACACGATGGCGTTCACGTTTCCGGAAACGTTCAAGCATGAACTCATCTGTAGCAGCCTGCCTTCTAACTGCTACATCTGTAACTGAATCATTGGCTATAGATTCCATGCTATTATCCTCAAAATTCCTATCCTTGTATAGTTCAGGATGTTCTGCAAAAGATGTTCACTTTACAATAAAATGGAGGACACACGTAAAAAAAATGATGAAATGAAATTCCTATCCTTTGTATACTAATACAACATGTTTCCAAAAAACCATTATATGCACACATATTCACCCTCATCAAGAAAGGGCCATTTTCTGTAGTATTTTATGTTTGTCACAGTTCCACATCAGCTAGAACATGGTTGGTTAGTTGGCAAGAAACAAATTGTAACTAACCTCTCCTAAGCTTCTCAGCATAATCCTTGCCACGGTGGAAATAGTCTGCAGTATAACTTGATAGAATACTAGAGTCAGTTTTGGTCCGACCCATAAACCTCTTTTCCTGTAGGAGCTTTTTAGCAGCCTCTGTCTCCTCAATATTCTTAAGTTTGTATCTGGAAAACCATAAGTGGATTGTGAAGATATCAATAGCTATAGCTATAGCTATATCTATAGAGTTCATAAGTTAGGGAGATCACCAACCAATTGATTTTCATTCCGACATGTGCAGTGAAGCACAAAGAAACTTCTTCAAACCAATTCACCCATTACATTAAACAATTAAAACTCCTAATTCATCTTATCAATTAGATCTTATATAACCTATGGCCATTTCAACTACTCCATTGTTACCCCTCTCTAAGTACTCAGTTCTTCCCTTCGATTAAGAAAGTTTCCCTAGGAACTTCTTTCTGACAAAAATATAGTAAATAATAATTTGATTTCTACTTTTAAATAAAATTGGGCAAGCATATTATAGAATTATATTTGTTCAAAAAACAATGCAACCATACTCAATGGGGAGCTGAATTTCGGCTATGCCAGTAGTCCATTGAGTAGAGCTTTCTTCTGAATTGCGCCTCTTTACCTAAGGACAGACAAACAAAGAGCATCATAAACACAGCCTATGTGACATGTGATACTTAAACAGACATTTGATAGAGGTGGAGAAGCAATGAGTTTGTGGAATAGGTAGGGCAAAGTATACTTATACTAATCTCCCACAACCAAAAAAAAAAAAAAAAAAAAAATCAACAATAATTTGAGGGAGACAAAAAACTTTGCTCACTTTAAGATGCTCTGGAATTTGATATAGTTCATCCTCAGCACGCTTAACTTCACCGTCAACTTCATTGGTCACATTAATGTTCTTACCCCTTTTCTTTGCTAATTCTTGCTCAATGTATCTCAACCTGCAAAATGGGAGAGATAGTCAGATCCTTTCCGTAATTTAATTTTGAGAAAATGATTCGTATGTATAGGTAACTGTTCCATCCACAAATACAGATTGGCATTGAAAATGTTTTGCTGCTTTGTGGAAAAAAAAAAAAAAAAAAATCGAGAAGGGCATATAAAAACCGGTTTAAGGAATGAAGAATATAAATGCTACGTATTTTAGTAGTGAACTAAACGGTGCGAACTTGAAAGATGAACAATAAAAATAGTAGTTAGGGAACCACTTAAGATTAGGTTACATATTGGGATCTTCAACCATTACGGCAGTTTCCTGTGCAAAAGTATCCTGCAACACCAAGTCATCCTTCTCCCCGTCCCCTTCACCCTTGTCGTTAACCTTCTTGGAGACTAAACCACCCGCCACTCCATTGCTAGAGACGCCGACGCCTACGCCTGCGCCTGCGCCAGGAGCAGGCTGCGCTGTGGTAGGAAGGGCAGGAATTCCTAGCTTCTTCTCCCTCTGCTTCTGAAGAAATTTCACCTCCTCTAGAGCCGATCTGTTTGAACATATAATTAATTAATTTTAATTAAGAGTAAGCGTGTAAACCCTAAAATATAAATGGAGGAGAGAGATGGACCAGATCTCAACCGAATAACAGATATTGAGTGAGTCCAATCATAAGGTATACCTCCTGTCTTGCTCGTCGTCTTCCTCTTCGTCAACAAAACTTCTTTTGCGGAAATTCCTTCCCGTCTTCATCTCCTATCGTTCTACAATGCTGCAGAAGTGCAGAGTATATATTAAGAAAAACTTTACTTTATTGTCCACAGACCCGTTATATAACACCATTAAGTAAGGTTAAAATACTAATTTTGTTTACCTTCATTTTATTAAAATAAAATTATTAAAGATTGCACGAGCCTAGATTTGAACTTGTGACATGCAAGTATGCAACCTAAGGTCCAATTGGTTAAGCTATTTTAGAGATTGTGGGTGATTTATTAAAATAAGACACTTTTGACATATATGGGCAAAAATAGAATACTTTTGAAAAGCAGACAATAATGAAAAAAATACTTTGGGACATGCTTTTGGCGTTAGAAATACACATCTCAGACGCGTATGACATTTTTTCTCTCGAAATAGTGTCCTCAAAGGCTCAGACGCAAATTCGACTTGCATCTGAGGTATTTTATACATCAAATGCAAGTCACACTCGTGCCTGATGTATTTTGTAACATCGAGACATACGCATATGGTAGATGCGTTTCTCGTCCCCGATTTTTTTGGGACTTTTTGTCTTTATTCAAATGAGCACCAATCTCTCGACTCCACCAACAACGGTAACATTAGAATTAGCTGTTGCTACAAAGGCGGAGGGGGAGTCATATTTTGATACCTCAAACGCAGCTTTTGAAGCTCTCGAGAAGGCTCAAGTTGCCGAAAACAACGACGTGAATACCGAGAAGGAAACGGCGGCAACGGTAGCGGCAGCGGAAGATCCTATGGAGGAGGATCCTGCGGGTTTGTTCATAGTGTTCTGTGTCAGGCTTAAACAGCCTAACTCATATTTGCGGCATAAAATGAGTGTGTCGGAGCTTTGTCGAAATTTCAGGTGATCTTTTTGCTCGGTGCTCTGTGAGTATTTTGAATTTTTGGATTTTAATTACTCTATAACTCTTTGGAGCTCGTCTGCTGGTATCTCCACTTGTGAGAAATTTTTCTTACGTATTTTGAAAAGTGAGACGCGTGTCGGACTTGTGTCAAGAGACGCAAGTCGAACTTACGTATCAACTCGCCGGCGTCCGGCATGTCGGACTTGCATCTATCACATATGTGTGTCTTGATGTGACAAAATACATGAGATCCAAGTCAGATTTGTGTCTGGGGACACTATTTCTAGAAAAAAAAAAAAAAAATACCATACGCATATGGGACATGGGTTTCTGACGCCAAATGCATGTCCCAACGTATTTTTTTCCCATTATTGTCCACCTTTCAAAAGTGTCATATTTTTGTCCATGCCAAAAGTGTCCTATTTCAGTAAATGACTCGGAGATGGTTAAGTTTGCGTTTTCTATTCAATTTTTCTTCTTTCTTGCTGGTTTGCCCATTTTCCTTTACTTTCTTTATTGACAAACCCATCTCCTTCTCTTTCTTCATATTTAATTCTCTATAATATTTAAGTTTAAATATGTTAATATAATCGAAAATGACATTTTCAACCACTTTAAAGACAAGAAAAATTTCCCACCATTATTTCAATTGTCTAATTACCAAACAAAATTACATGAAGTTTAATTTGTCCCAATATTATTAACCTTTTAAAACCTAGAATATTTAAATTTTCAGAATATTTAAGTTTAAACTTAAAATGTGAAGAAAGAAAAAAAAGGGATAGCTCAAGTGGCAAAATAGCTTCTTTGTGGAAACGATTCTAGGAATAACATATGTCTTTCTTTGTTTTCCCTCCAACCAAACGAAACAATTTCGGTCTTTGGAATTAAGTAGAAGTTCCTTCCAACCACATGGGTTGCAAGTATTTGCAACAGTGTGTTTATGTAGGACTCGACTGGATCATTTGTAATCATAAAAGGTGTTTTTTTTTACAGTTAAGTGTATGATTTAAAATTATTTGTTCACCCCAAAGAGGTAGGAGCTATTTGTATTCGGGAAGCATTGACTTTGATAAAGGAGCTTGTGTGGGATGGTATTGAATTGGAGACAGATTCATTAGCTTGATGCTCATCTTGTGGTTAAAGCTAGGCAAATTGCACTTTAGAGACATAAGCTTTTCTTTTGTAAATAAGTTTGCAAATTGCGTTGTCCATGTCATTGCAAGAGAAGTCCTTTTCACGTCAAGCTTTATGAATGACACTTTATGTTGTCTGATTTCCTTGTTGATGTTCTTGTTGTAATCCATTAACTCAAGCATGATTGATCAAAGAATTGTTGAAAAAGAAACTAAGATACAAAGAGAGAAAGTGATAGACAAGGCAGGAGGATCTCTTCTTTATTCATTTTTCTGTGTATTACATACAACCATAACACATCTATATATAATATACAAATATAACGGAAGACATAATGGAGACATAAATACAGAACCGTTACAACTGTTATATATCTATAATAATGTCCACATAATGATTATATTTATAACACCCCCCCTTGGACATTATTTGTCCATGACCTTGCCTCGTTAAAAAAACTTGCTAGGAAAATCCTGTGGGAAAAACCTAGACAAGAAAAGAGTATAATAGAAAATATATTCACGCCTCATTAAAAACTTCACTAGGAAAACCACGTGGGAAAAAACCTAGTTGAAGAAAAGAGTACATGATATATGTAGAAATCATATATTGTATTGGTTGCCTCATTAAAAACCTTAACTCAAGAAAACCCTGTGGGAAAAACTTAGTTAAGGGAAAAAGAGTAGAACTATAAGCCTTCAAGGCATAATCTGCATAATCTTCAGGATTTTTGAGTTTGTTCATTTATTAACCAATTTTGCAACTTTTTCCCATTGTCATTATTATATCATACTCATGCCTCGTTAAAAAAAAAAAAAAAAAAAAAAAAAAAAAAAAAAAAAAAAAAAAAACACTAGAAAACCCATTGGGAAAAACCTAGTGAGGAAAAGATTACATGATATGTATATGCTGCAAAAAAGTATAACTATTAGTCCTTTTAAGACCCAATCTTACATGATTGACCAAACTACAGGATTGACTCGAGTGAATGTACTTCCTGTCTTCCCCTGAAGATAACAATCTTCAAATTCTATATTGCCTGTAAAATCATTGTTTCTAAAGGGTGTAGAGAAGGGATATATGGTACAATCTTCAGGATTGTCATCATATTTTCTTATGATCATCTGGACTAATAAAATTATTTATAGTTTATATTTTGTTGCTCCCCCTAAATATAATAATTTTTCTTTACCTACACATATCAATCTTATGAATATTTGTAGGTATACATTTGTTAACTTGTCACTAGAGCAAACCTTCTGAACAAATATTTTATCACTCTTCTGGAGTTCATGTGGATTAAGGTATTTTATATCATGAAAAACTATATACGTTTTTATCCGTAACAAGTATGATGACTTCATGCCAAAAAGCATCAATACGAGTATTTGTACCTTGATTTGCTATTCGTTATCTCATCTCATAACTTAACATCATTAAACTCTTTATATATTTCATTGATGTTTACACCATAAATATTGACTGAGATAATAAATAAGTCCATTATCAACTCTTTATTGAGCACATAATGGTACATATTATTCCTTCTATATGAGAATAATAACCCCATTCGCAACTCTCTAAAAAGTAAATAATGGCACTTAAATAAATCCTCATTTCGGGAATTATAAATCCATTAGGGATTTTCAAGATAAACTAGAGGATATTTAGGATATTTTCAAGAGGAAACGAGTTTCCCAATCACATATAACATTACTAGGCATGTTTATGATAATATATTTTCATAATTTGTTATGGGGGAGAAAATACTTTTAATCAATTTATTGACTATAAGAAAAATCATAGTTAGTAACTTACTAACTTTTATACTTCTTATTTTGTGATTTTCATTCATCACATTTTGAGAAAATCCATCAAGGATTTTAAATATAAGTAACAAGTTACTCATATAAATATGTGATAACTATAACTATTAGCTACATATCTAATTTATTTACTGCTAGTTTTATTGAATAGCGGAATATAAAGCCATGACTAATATTGGGTCTCTGCGAAAACCCTTAACTCGCCTTTTATTAGCAAGTTTTGATTTGTATGCCTTAATTGCTGTTTTCTAGCAAAACAGTTAGCACGCTGCAGTCGTTATACTACTGTTTTCATTTCTGGATCCAGATTTAAGTATTTATATGAGCAATAGAGGCAAAATATGTTGTCGACAACTGTAATAACTTTGTAAATATGTTTTATACACATGGCAATTTTGTATCAACCAAATATATGGCATTTCCCAAGAGTATTTGAATTTGGTTGTTCCGCTTCCCCAGTATTTTAGTTATTTGGTGCACCTACAATTTTACTGGGGGTTTTCGCCTTCTAGACGAATATCTTCAGGATAAAATTTCTATATTTTTGGAGTGACGAAATTTCTTCACTAGATCTAGATTTGCAAATTCTTAAACCAATATATGTTTCTGGCATAATGGTAGAGATGTTTAGTCCTAGTTGGGGATTTCAACTCTTAAAATATTTTCTATGGACTTAGTCACTCATTCAGATTTCTAGCAGATAATTTATTCAATGTCCGAACTTCTGGTTCTATAAGGCTAGTACATGGGTTTGAAGATTTTTATCAATTTCTCGGCATTTAATTAATTAGAAATTTCAAATCTCCCCCTAATGCCGAGAAAAGATCTTATAATGCAACCAATATCACTGTTGATTTCTCATAATAGGATACAGCTAGAAGGGTTGCGTACTAAAAAAAAAATTGAACGCAGATAGGGAAATGCATCATGTACTAGCGTATGTGATATGTAGTGGATCAGGATATTGGTTATTCAATTTTTGAAGGTCCCCAAAAAAAACACATTTCCTCCAAAATTGCGTAATTTGCTTTCCAAACAAAGCTCTATTAAGATTTAGAGCTTTCGTTAAAAAATATGATATAGTTTATCTTAACTAATTGTTTTAGTAAAATTAGATAAAAAAGTGAAATACTCAACATACTATGTCGTATGGAGTGAACTAATCAAGATAACATATCATAATTTCGTCTATGGATCATGCTTTCTAAAAACGAAGTATCAATTCGGATTCATGACAAATATTCTTTTTGACAATTTGCCATAGCAAAATATCACAGTGATATATACATGCACACAATTGTCAATATAAAAGAATTATGAAATATTGTCTTTGAGAAAAACACTTATCTGGTTTGTTTCAGAATATTGTTTGACAATTTTATGGCGATCACATGATCTTTTCTGATATTTGTAATGCCATTATTGTTTCTCACATATTTGACAAAGGATAGCCAAAATATCATAGATATTTTATTACCATAAAAGAAAGTGCAATTGTTAGTCTTTTACTTGCCGTTGCCACGATGATGCGTGACCCAAGCCAATCATCGGACAACAACCATATAGATATTAGTCACCCAAGGTAATAACTAAACATTTTTAATAGTCGATAAAGACATGTGTTCAGGAAAATATGGTCACATGCACATAGGAATCCACCTGCAAAATATTAGCAGCCATAGCATCTGGGTGTTATTTGCCTAGGCGAAGCAGGTTGCTTCCCTTTCACCAAATTGGTCTTAGTGCATTCCTCCATGTAGTGCTCTTGGCTAAAACAATTAGTACAGAACCAGGGAAGCACTTCAAATTCCACCAATTGGGAAAATAGTTCACCATTTGTCATCATGACAAGGATTTCATCCACAGGATGGTAAGAAGAATCAATTTCAATTGGCACACGGGTATAGTCATGGCCACGTTTTGCAGCCATATTACCATAACCATGCTGGTTAAAAACAGCAGAGGGATAACCAGAGCCACAAAACCCCATTAAAAAAACTTGCAAAAGGGGTCCTCATAATTGTAAAAGTATGGTCATTCTTTCCTGAAGTAATTGTCTAAATTGAATAAGCATTTTATGTACAGTCCTAGGAGAACAATTCCAGGAGGAATCTGAAGTCCTTAGGAACAATGGTGAAAACACTACGGCAAACTGATGTTTCTAATAGCAAACTGGAGTATGCCACAAAACTATTAAGAAGAATTATAATGTAGGTCTTGCTTGAAATTCTTTTTGCCACTTCTTCCCATGGCCCAGGGCTTAAAAGCAACTTTTAACAGCAAGCCCTCCAACTCAATAAATGAAAAGCAATATAATTATCAATTTTCCGTTGTTCATAGCATAGCCAAAAAAGTAAACCCAGACTTCCCTCATTATTTGAGAGTAAAATGATTTGTAGCTATGATTGAGGTTGCATTTTGGGGGTTAGATTCAAGAGGCAACCTATGACTATGGAGATATATCAAATAATAATATTGCAAAGGAAATCCAATAAATTCAATCTGACCTGCTATGAAAATTCAGCGGCTTCTTGCGGCTATGAAAATTCAGCGGCTCTAGCGACGGAACACCGACCGCCTTTCCAGGGCGGAGAGAAGATCAATTCCAGCAACTTCCAGCGCGGATGGGAGATCGATTGCCGACGTCAAGTCCGGATCGCTGGCTGATTCCAAGGCGGGGAGGCCGACGATCTGTTATGCTCACCTACGCAATCGACCGTCAAGTCTCTGGCGTCCCTGGTCCGCTTTCGCCTTCCGCAACTTCCCATAGCAGGATCGGTCGACGAAGAGGGTACGAATTTGGATCGCCACGGAGAAGTCGAGGGACACGCGGAGCTTTCCGATCTGGATTGTCCCAGCCTTCGCAGACGGCTTCAACCAGAGGGATAAATTTCGTTCGGCCCAAGTCTACAAGGATGTCCGTTCGGCCCAAGTCTACAAGGATGTCGCGAACACGATCCAGGTTTTGTTCGATCGAGTCTAAAAGCAATCGACCCCTTTCCATAACCGTCTCAATGAGGTGGAACCTTTGAGCCGAACAGATCGCCGGAAAAAGGTGGTCGTCGGTGCCGGAAAAAGCGTTGACATGTCTTCGGCCGAAACCTCAGTTGGCTAGAGCACGGGCTGATAACGTGTTGTAATCCATTAACTCAAGCATGATTGATCAAAGAATTGTTGAAAAAGAAACTAAGATACAAAGAGAGAAAGTGATAGACAAGGCAGGAGGATCTCTTCTTTATTCATTTTTCTGTGTATTAGATACAACCATAACACATCTATATATAATATACAAATATAACGGAAGACATAATGGAGACATAAATACAGAACCGTTACAACTGTTATATAATCTATAATAATGTCCACATAATGATTATATTTATAACAGTTCTATCTTTTTTATCTTAATAATTCACTCTTTTAATTTTTTTAAGTCAAATTTAAAATGTATTAAAAATGTTAAAGAAAAAAATTGAGTTGACAAATGAATAGTAATTTAAGTGGTGGGTCACACAACAATCATTATGCTATGGACGCGTGTCCAGCATGTATTGTGGACACGGTAACGGTGCCGTTAGTGGCACCGTTATCTTCCACAATTTTTTTTTTTTTAAATTTCAGACCACTTTGTTATAGGAGCATATGTTCATAATTTTATTACTATATGTTCATAATTGTAAATTCATAATGTCAGAGCTCTGTGTTCATAATTCCATAACTGTACATTCAAAATTGCATAACTGTACATTCATAATTCCGTAATTGTACATTCATAATTCAATAACTGTAAATTCATAATTTCCGAAGCTCTATGTTCACAATTTTAGAGCTCTATGTTCATAATTTTATCACTATATATATGTTCATAATTGTAAGTTCATAATGTCAGAAGTCAGAACTCTGTGTTCATAATTCCATAACTGTACATTCATAATTCCATAACTGTACATTCATAATGCCACAAACGAATAACGCCGTTAACGGCGAGACAAAATCAAATTTTTTTTTACTAGAAGGCCGCGTTTTCCCTGAAAACAACGTCGTTTCCCACGAGTCCACAACATAATTTGCGGTCACACAAGCTCACACTATCGGTCTGCTTTGATAACTCTAAACAACAATAATAATAAAATAGAGGCGGGTAACCAGAACCAAGTTTATCAGAGTATTAGTTTGGTAACCACAAGGTCCCAAATTTAACATCTAGCGAGTATGATATTGGGCTATTGGCCTTCTTGGTAGGAAACTTAGGTTGGTTTATCTCATTATAATCTTTCAATCATTATTGTGTGGACCATGGTCCATACAAGTTGTGTGGACCATATTTTGTATACAGTAAAATAATGTATATTCAGTACAAAAATAATGTACATTCAGTACAAAAATAATGTACATTAGATTCAGGGGATGTACATTATTTTTGTACTGAGTGTACATTATATTATATAATGTACATTCAGTACAAAAATAATGTACATTTAGTATATTAAACATGTATTTTTTATTATGGTCCACATAACACTGTGTGGACCATGGTTCACACAATAACTTGCCATAATCTTTGGCCGATTAGGATCAGAATGTGAGATTTATCCAATGCACATATTGAACAAGTGAATACAAGTTTCCCTTATCATCCCAAAAAATTATGCATAAAAAATTGATAACTTGCAAGATCATTATTTTATTATTTAGATCCAAACCAAAATTTTTAAGTAAATATTTAGTATGTGATATTTATAACAGTTATTTTATATTCATTGGTTATGAGTGACCATATCATAAATTATGTAATGGTAGGAAACTTAGGATCAAACATTATCCTATTTGGATTTTCCGTTCAAAGATTTCCATGGTAAAAAATCATTGTAATTTCATCCCTGTTAATTGTGTCCAATTCTCGAATTAAGGTCTAATAAATGTAGAATTCATTTGTGAGAAGAAAAAAAAAAACGGAATTAACAATAGTATAATAATTACAAAGCCACTAAACAGATGGACGATTGCTGTGATACATTCTCTGTGCTTCTTCTCGAACACAAGTTAGGTTAACTTTGATCTCGTTACAGATTCTACTTTCAAGAATGCGTACGGGCAACCATAACTTAGGCTCCACGCGGACAACATAGAATAGAGTTGTATGTAATTCTTGGCATACTGAAGAATCACGAGGTTCTCCCCATGTATTGCACTGTAACATACAAAGCAAGTTGCAAAAATCTCAGAATAAATTTATCAAGTTTTTTACTAGTGAATACCACAGGAAAAGCAGAATGGAAATGATTTTATAATTCTAAACCAAACTCTTAAGTGTAATGTCCTCGATTGTGCCTATCTTACACTCCCAAAGTATATTTTAGTTTCAAACTTCATTGCCTGTAAAGTAAAGCTGCAAGATTGCAAGAGTGCAATAAATCTAGAATAATTGAATAGGTATAAAGACGAGAGCTCAAACTTCCAACAAACTCCAGCTTTTACAGGGCATTCATACAGAAGGAACATAACAACTGATGAAAGAAGAGACTGTAGAGGTGACTATCGGCCACCAGCAGGCAGCAGGGGCTTTGGGCTTAATTGCTACCAGACTGCCAACACCATGGCAAACCACCAATTGCCACATCTGTGATTGCACTCAATCTCATAAACACAAGAATTCCACCAAACACATAGCCCATATTGATGAAGTAAACACGAATCAGCCAAAGGGGCATTCTTGTATTTTTCCTTCTCTTCATTCTGTTATAACTACCAAGCATATATAACTAGGCACTGTAACTTCTTCTTGTTCTAGTTTTTCCATTAAGCAATAAAGCATTTTCCAGTTCCTTCCAGTTTAAGCTCTCTGTTTACTCAAGCTATGGAGATCTTGCAGGAAAATGGGTTTTTGGAAGCCAAACCCGCACAAACACCAGTCACTACAGGGCAAATACTTAGCAACCTGGAGGGGACATTACTTGACAAACCTGAGGTGTATAGAAGACTGGTTGGTAAGCTTCTGTATCTAACAAGCACCAAGCCAGACATTTCATATGATGTTCAACAACTAAGTCAATTTGTGGACAAGCCTAGAAACACACACTTTACTGCTGCTCATAGGGTGCTAAGATACCTCAAAGGTTCTCCTGGAAAGGGACTATTTTATGATTTTATCCGACAGGTTCTCACATTAAACTACAAGGCTTTTCTGATTCAGACTGGGCAACATGCACAGAAACCAGGAAATCTATATCTGGCTACTGCATCTACCTTGGACAATCCCTAATTTCATGGAAAGCTAAGAAGCAGGCCACAGTATCAAGATCCTCATCTGAGGCAGAGTACAGGGCACTAGCCTCTATTCCTTTACAGTGTGTGAAATCCAGTGGCTTCTTTACTTATTAGCTGATCTGAACATGAAGTTTAATAGCCCTATTGCTCTATTCTGTGACAATCGTTCTGCTATTGCAATAGGAGAGAATCATTTCTTCCATGAAGGCATGAATGCATGAACGCACCAAACACATCGAAATATATTGTCATGTGATCAAGCAAAAGATTCATGAAGGGGTGATCAAATTGCTATACATTCCATCACATAAGCAAGTTGCAGATGGCTTCACCAAAGCATTGTCAAAACCGGTATTTGACGTCTTCCATTCTAAGCTGGGCCTTCAAGACCTTCATGCTCCATCTTACGGGGGTGATGAAGTGAACACGAATCAGCCAAAGGGGCATTCTTGTATTTTTCCTTCTCTTCATTCTGTTATAACTACCAAGCATGTATAACTAGGCACCGTAACTTCTTCTTGTTCTAGTTTTTCCATTAAGCAATAAACCATTTTCCAGTTCCTTCCAGTTTAAGCTCTCTGTTTACTCAACCTAACATGATCTGAGCTCTTCCATAACATATCATCCAGTAACTACTACAGCCAGCCAACAAAGCAAGAAACCACTAGCCCAACAAGCACATGTGCACAAACCAATACTCCTCAAACAGTAAAAAGGATCATGACAAGAAATAAAACTTCAAAACTCTCAATAGATTGTGTAATGACTATAAATAACCAGAGCCAAAATAATAATAATAATAATAATAATAATAATAATAATAATAATAAACTTTAAGATGAGAGGCATGTAAAGAAGATGCAGAAATAAAGCAACAAGGGGAAGAACTTGAACCTGTTCAACCGACCACTTTCCTTCAAAGACTTGAAAGTCACCTTCTATCATCTTAAAGTCAATATCACGCCTTTGACCATATGGAAGGATTTGGAGATCTTTCTCGTAACAATCTAAAATACCTTTAGCATCAAATTTCATCCCAAATGCAATGTTTTGTTGTCCAATCTGTTCAAGGCAGCAGCAGTAGTAAAAGAAGTCCAGTTTCACAACAAATTTAGCAAGAAAAAGTTAAATGCAGCTCTCATTGATATTTTATCACCATGGTCAAGTTTTGACATTTGCAAATAAAATATTTAAAATGCAGATTGGGTAAATAAGCAACCATAACAGGGCGTTTGGTTGGAGGGGGGGAATTATGTGGGAAAGGAATTGTAATTCCATGGGAGTTGAATTACTGGGAATAAAGTGGGAATTTAAATTCCAGTGTTTGGTTGACAAGAATAGAATTACTGTGAATTTCAATTCCAATGTTTGGTATACATGGGAATTGAAAGGGAATAAGTAGTATAAAGTCAAAAATGTCCATTATTATTGTTAGACATTAATTTTAGGTTAAAAAAGGAATAGGTAATTTTGACTCATCACTATCTTTTTTCCTCAGAAATTAAAATCCTAGGGGGGGACATGGGATTTTAATTCCATGAAAATGGGGGAATTGCAATTCCCTCCAACCAAACTACGGAATTTAATGGCCTTTGGAATTAGGTGGGAATTAAGTGGGAAGGGAATTTAAAATCCCTCCAACCAAACACCCTGTAAAAGAAAGCAGTAATGGTGCATTGGCCTGAATAGGAAAGAAGAATATCCATCAGGTTTTATAGGTAAGCACCTTCAAGTTAATGTGGTCAACTTTATTGCCCCTAAACACTAATGGATCTGCTAATTAGGATAGTGTGAGCCTGTGAGTTAATTGATAATACAGCGGGAATATCTTTTTAAGTGATCAAGCTTGTCCTCTTTACACACAGATGAATAAAAGCACCAAAAGCTGCAATAACTTTAACTTGACTTATCACTTATCCTCCTACTTTTCCTTTCAAAAAAATGGGAAAACGGGGCAATTGCAGAGTTAAACAACAAGGTGTAAGTGGCTAAAGAAGTTAAGGGGGCCTCTGAGAGGAACTAAGTCATTAAGCTGAGGAAGTAGGAACTATTGAGAGTATCAGATTTTGCATTGGAGACACATAGTACGTTGATCCGGTTTACAAAGGGCAAGGGCAAATGTAGATAACTAGTACTAAAACTAGACTAGTACATCTTGGAGAGTCCAAAAACTTGATCCCACGGCGTCCGGATTTAAAGCATGGTTTTGGAATTGATCTTAACGGAGAAAATAAAGGGGAGAGGCAAGATGAGCAAAAGAAGAAATATTGGAGATATACTTAAAACAAACAGTAAGGGTACCTGAAAAAGACGGGCGAAATTGGGCTCTTTCTGAAGCAACTGGCTGACTGCAAGACCAGGAATGAAGTCTGCTAATCTTTCATAATCCGTCAGGACGTCCCAGACAGTCTGGAGGCTGGCATTCACGGCAACTTTGGACCTAATCGTGCGTTGATTTTTGCCCGTCTTTTCAATCACAAGTTCAATGCCATCATCGAGTACAACTTCCCCGCCCGCCTCAGAGAAGCCATCCGAACACGAAACCTCGACGCCGTCTGGCGAAGCGTTCGAACCCCATTTTGCAGAAGATGTAAATTTGGCCGGTGAATATTTCCGACAAGTAAGGTTAGGGTTTGTGCAGAAAATTAGGGCTGGGGCAGGGGCTGTGGGTGTATAGGAATGGAAACCGGCTCGCACACAGCAGTAGTACGGCAACCGGCGCCCTGCCGGATATTGCCAGTCTATTGGAAAATGGAAGCTCACCTTGGTTTGCATTTCTATTTGGGAATAGACAATACTCACTTTATCCGCTGTTTTATTTTCGTATTACAGTATTATTACTGATTCGTGTGCGTGTCAGCGTGCGTATTAGAGCATTCACATTAGTTGGGAAGAATATGGAGATAATGTAAAAGTAATTAGGAGAGAAAATGTGGAAAAGGGAAAAAAAAAATTAAAAAACCAAAATTAAAAAACAAACAAAAAAAAATAAAAAAAAAAACCTGTCAGGCGCGCCGTTCGGTGCGCCTGACGCGCCCGTGTGGGCGGGCTGCTGTGCACGAAACGCGCACAGCAACCCCTTTTTTCTTTTCTTTCTCTTTCTTCTTTTTCTGCCATTCTCCCTTCATTTGCAGTATGAATATCTCCACAATTATCCCCACCCCACATTTGTTATTATCTCCATTGAGAAGAATTAATACTGAAATCTCCCCATAATATGGGGAAGTGTGGATGCTCTTAGAATTGGGGGATAATGTAAAGGTGATTAGGAGAGAGAATGTGGGAAGGGGAGGAAACAAAAAACAAAAAAAAACAAAAATCAAAAATTATCTCGTGTGGGCGGGCTGCTGTGCGCGAAACGCGCACAACAGCCTCTTTTTTCTTCTCTTTCTTTTTATTCTTTTTCTGCATTCTCCTTGAATTTGCAGGAGAAATATCTCCACCAATAACTCCCCCCACACTTGTTATTATCCCCACCCGAGATAATTCATCTGACATTATTTCCATAATATCCACTGATGTGGATGCTCTTATCCATTACTGGAGGGGTTTTTTAATAAAATATTTTTATATTTGGTCTATGCTATTATTATCTAAAAACATAATAATATAATTATAATAATAATTTAGTTTTAGAAAGTTATAGCCTCTAATAAGAATATGGCATAGTTTTCTACTTAATTTTTTTAATTAAAGTATTATGTTACTTCTTTCAACTACTGAATCACAAAAAGTCAATATCATCGCAAGTCCAACTTGGATATCATTAGACCACATAGTCCTAGTAATAATAATAAGGAGATTTAAACTAACTAAATGTATTAATTATTTTTTTCAAATAATTTATCAAACATATTAATTATTTTCATATTAATTAATTCTAAAATTATTCCCATCAAATATTATGATTAGAAACCAAAACCTCGACAAACTAAAACAAAAGATTCTTGCCCTTGCCCACAAGCAAAAAGTAGAAATGGGAAATGCTCTTCCCCATTGCTTGACAGTTGACACTCGAAGGCCAACCCAAAGCCCTGAAATCTGGAACTGCCGATGAAGTAAGTGACGATGAACACGAATGGCAACAACAAAGATGATGGGAAAGGAATAGCAGGAGGAGGAGATGAGGCTTGTTGGATGGGCAACAAGGTGAAGGAATTCTTGAAGAAGGAAGTTCCGGAGTGGGACGACGAAGCGAACGCGAGAGCAAGGTTCAAGGCATTCAGCGGCCAGAGGTGTGATTGGGAGCCCCTCTACCTTTTCTGGCGGGACTTGATTCTCAAGGTTGCTCGACACCTCCGCGTCTTTATCATTCGTCCTTCTCAGGTTAAGATGATCTGGTTCAGCAGAGCAGACGGCTTGTCCCCTTTGTGCCTCGATCGAGTGCTGGTAAGAAAGATTCCAGCTTCTCAGTTTTTGTCCAATTTGTTTCTTTCTTATAACCCTCGTAACACTTAAATAGTTCTGTCTACTACTGCACATGCATATTGATTGATTAGGGTCTGCGCTCTGGTTCAATTTACAAATCTAACCCTTTACATTTCAGCTCCAAATGTATAACTCCGGTGAACTCTTGTGGAATGCCCGACTCATGGACCCTACTAGTGGGCAAATCTCTCGAACTTTCTATAGATTAGCTGATATGATGCGTTTTTCTAGACCATCAGCTCAAGAAACCCTTGTTGAAGATTATTACATACTATCAACGTTGTTAGAGGTTTGTGCTTTTGTCTTTTGTCTCTCAAGTCTCAATGCTTGTAGATTGTAGCCTTCATTAATCCTTTCCTATTCATTATTTTGGAAATTACATATTCTTCAATTCATTCAATATCATCTCCTTGTCTACCTCTATGTTGTTGTGTTTTCCCCTTTACCTAGATTGAGCCTAAATGATGAGTGAACATCATTAAATCTCTAATCCCATGAATGCTAGGAAAAAGCTCTTGAAGTTATCCAAGTTTTGTGTGAAAACCACTGGACGTCTTCATGCATTATTACACTGAGGAATTTCCAGGAAATTTGTGGGGGAACGAAGGAAGCATATGCCATACTGGGTCACTTGTCAGGGGCTGGGAAAGCAAAGTACCTTGCCATCACCAACAAGAGAGATCAAGTAGAGGTAAAATCAATTGTTTTTTATTTATTTTTCCGTCTTTTAGCATGAGTAGTAGACTAGTAGTAGATGACATGGACAATAAATTGGAAAGAATAAGAAAATTAGAGGTTGTTAGTAAGCCCCCTTATTAAAATATGAAGAGTCTACTCTCACAGCTAGCTAGTGTAGACCAGATTGGTAGGCAGATTAGGCTGGATTGACTTATCTAATAAAGCAAATCCAAATATTCAATTTATTGCATGTGTATGGATGGCCACTTTCTTTTGCTACCAAATGAAGTGAGTTGCCATTCTTGTGATCTGGTTCTCTTAAAGTTTTACATCAGAGAACTTGATCTATCAGTATTACTTCCTATGTTATGATCAAAGTAACCCAGAGAAAGTTCAACTTCATAGCCAGGTGTTCAAAGAGTCTGTTGGTACGTGAACATTGGGAATTTCATCAGAATTCTAGTGGATAAGTGTTTGTAGAGTTGGCTATTGTTTGCTAAGCTGATGTAGTGTAGCTCTTTCTTGCAGGGAGTGAAAGTTTCTCTTTCTGGAAAATCTTCTATAGGGACGACAGGTTTAGATTACAATTTGCTGCATTTAAATTGGACAGCAGATAAGCTTGATCAGCAGCGGGAAGTGATCGATCAGCGCTATAGTAGGCATGGATGTTATCCTTCTGAATACTAAACTTACCTCTAACTCATTCCAATCTTAGATTGCATAATGCAAAGTGGGACAATAAAATAACATGGTATTTCTAAGCCAATGACATGAATAAGTTTACCCAAAAACCGTTGCCATAGATTTATTGCGTGGTTACCACTTACCATTTATAAGAGCCTTTTGGTCTATAGTACAGTCAAATGTTAAATTTAATCTGTCCTCAGTCATCAACTCTAACTTAGTCAAATTGTAATACCTTCTGTTTAACAGTTAGGCACTTGCTCTTTGTGCAGGTTTAAGAATTCCGCTTTAGCTTCTTTAAAGTCTGGCAACAAAAAAGCTGCTTTAAGGCATGCAAGGGAAATGAAACTGGCATCTCAAAGTAGAGAAAAATGTACACTGCTTCTGAACCAAGTTGAGCAAGTCTTGAGAATTATTGCAGATGCAGAATCCTCAAAACAGGTCAGTATCATTTTTACTCCTGCCTGACTCCTTCTTCTGTTACATCAATGCTTAATCTAAACACAAAATTGCTGAACTCACATGGATTGGACAACTGTTGGAACTGAAGTTTTAAAATTTTGTAATTCTTATTTCACATTTTGCTCACAAATGGCAGGTTTCTGAAGCAATCCGAGTTGGTATGCAAACTATTAAAGAATATAGGATTAGTGTTGAAGATGTTGAGCTCAGTTTAGAGGAACTTGACAAATATATTGAATCACAAAACCAAGTCAATGAAGTTCTAGGTATTCTTCTCATCCTTAATAAAGCATCTTGATTGCACTCTAATGGAACTGATACTTGTTGATGACTATAAAATTATTATTTGTGGATCGAGGTTTTAATTGATCAATCTTATTATTAAAGAAAGCACATATTCAATGCATCTCATAATTTATTAAATGAACCATGTTTGCATAAAAGCTTTTGCTTTAGGGAATAGGAAACATCATCAAACAAGGTTAGCAATCCTGTTTAGTGTAATATCTGCTAATTTTTTCATAAGTTCCCAGCACCACTGCTAATAGGAACTGATTCAGCTACATGAAATGCTATTATGATTAAGCAACCAGTTCTTTCATTTTTAATGTTGGTCTTGTTGGTAAATTACATTACACTCCATTAATTAATATCAATGACATTTTATACTGGGAAAAGGGTCAAATGTGTCCTCATACTTTTTAGTGAAACTGCAATTGGGTATCTCAACTTTTTTTTTTTTTTTTATAAAGTGCAATCAAAGTTTTGAACTTCTAATTTCATGCAATTCAGTTCCAATCTTTAAAAAATGATAACAATCTGTTTAATTGCACAAAATTGGAATCTAATTACAAGAAATTGGGAGTTCATAACCTTAATTGCACAAAATTGGAAGTTCAAAACCTTGATTGCACTTTTTTTTTTAGTTGAGGTGCCTTTTTTTGCTAAAAGAGGATATATTTGGCCCTTTATCCCCTTTATTATACTACTACCTAAATTTGGCAATCGATTACAGCTTTATGTGGTTGTTATATGGTTGTTATATGGTATTAAATACAGCATGTGCAGAAACTGAGGACGAAGGTATTGAAGATGAGCTAAAAAATCTGGAAGCTGAAATTGCAGAAACAGTCCAGACACCGATTGCAGTAGCTGAATCTCAGGGAACCTCTAATACATTGAGTAATTTGAGTGGTGCTCTATTAAAACTTCATCTTACAGACAATGTAGCTGAGAAACTGGTGGTACAATCTTCAATGGAGTGTATGCCCAAAGAAAAATCAAAAGATGCCAATCTTGAAGCTGCTTAACATCAATTTGGCAGCTCCCACAAAAAAACGCCATTGTTTTGTTTTGTTTTACATTGATGAGTAAATTAGTGCACTCTAGCAGTTAAATGAGACAATTGTAGGAGCAATTTTCAGAAAGAGTTAGTATCATAGCATTGTTATATACGGAGTAATACTAGTGTGTTTAAATCCATGTTGCAATGCAATACGCATAGTTTGCAGCTTGTGAAATATCAGCTATTCTGTAAATGCTTATTTTAAACACCTATTCCATTAGTATTTAGTAGATGTGTTTAAGAGG